AGCATTGCTATGGAAATGAAAATGTTTTATAGCTGTAGGTTTGGATAAAATATTTTTAAAGCACTCTCTGATAAAATGTTGTATCTAGAATATTTTAAGAGCTCCTACAGCTCACTGATATGAAAACAAACGGCCTAACAAAAAAGGGCAAAAGATTTGGACACTTAACTGAAGAAGAGCTATAGACAGCAAATAGGCACATGTGAAGAGTCTTGCTGTCATAGTAATTAGGAAAATGAAGTTTAAAACAATACTGAGGTACTGTTGCACACCTCATACAACAGCTACAAAACAAAAATTGACAGTATTAAGTGCAGGCAAGGATGGTAAGTAACTGGAACTCTTAGAAATTGCTGATAAAAATGCAAAATAGTACAGCCAGTGTGAGAAGCTGTTTGGCAATTGTTTAATAAGTTAAATATCTACTTATCTTGTAGCACAGCAGTTCCACTTCTGGATATTTACCCAAAAGAAGTGAAAACATATCTAATGCTAGCACAAAACTGGAAATAATTCACATCTATTAATTGGTGTATGAAGAAACAAAATGTGGCATATAACTGTACAATGGAATACTACTCCACAAAAATGGAATAAACTGCTATAAATACAGCAACATGGATGAATCCTAAAAGCTTTGTGCTGAATGAAGGAAACTAGACACAAAAGGCTATAGATGGTATAATTTCATTTATGTGAAAGTCTAGACAAGGCAAAGCTATTGTGATACCAGATCAGTGGCTGAGTAGGGACAGAGCATGGAGGGAAGGCGTTGACTCTGTAACAGGATATGTGGAATGATGGAAATGTTCAATGTCATGATTATGATGGTGGTCACATGACTGTATGCATTTGCCAAAATTCATTTAATTATACAATTAAAATTGGTGAATTTTATTGATGTAAGCTATATCTTAATAAAGCTGATTTTAATAGCACACAAACCAAAGCAAAAAAACCCGAATTGTTTAAAGAGGTAAAAGATGGGCAAAGATATAATAGAAACATGAGTGAACAAATGTATTTGGGATGTTTCAAAATTCAAATATAATTTGATCCATGAAACTGTTGAAACAAAGGAGACTTTTTTTTTTTTAAACAATGGTACAGTATGACTAGAAGTTAACAAAAGTTTATGATTTACAAACTGCTTGGGAATTTATCCCATAAAGCTGTTAGAGAGGAAAAGGAAATCAAAACCACAAAAACAGGCTATTTAAAAAGTAATGAAAATGTCAGTATAATGCTATGAAAGGTAGAGATGCTACTGAAAATACTCTGGGAACTTCATTCGCTGCAGTATTTAAAAAACAGAACTAAAGAAAAAGACAAATTAATAATATAAAGTCATAAAATTAATGTTATTAGTGCAAAGGCTGACAGATCAGTAGCAAATAAACAAAAAACAGCCTTTTCCTATTAGCTTGCCTGGAGTTTCAATTTTAAAATTTTTTCCTTGAGACTAAATCTTTCTTCTCTTTCTAATTCTTGATTAGCTCTTTTTCTAATTATTTCCTTCAGGAGTATACTCACAATTTGTATATATTGGTGCTACATTATTGGTACTCACTGAAAAAGTAGAAATAAAAATTTGCATATGCCCCATTTTAACATAATGGAAATTCAAGGTTATTGAGATATGAATGAAGTCATAGAAAAAGAACATTCTGAAAAAAATAGCAATTTTTTAAAATGTTATTTTATATTCCGGGATACATGTATAGGACTTGCAAGTTTGTTACATAGGTAACAAACCGATCAAACTGTCACCTAGGTATTAAGCCACACATGCATTAGCTTTTTATCCTGATGCCCTCCCTCCCCCAGATTCCCTGACAGGCCCCAGTGTTTGTTTTCCTCTCCCTGTGTCCATATGTTCTCACTGTTCAGCTCCCACTTAGAAGTGATAACATGCAGTGTTTGGTTTTCTGTTCCTGCCTTTTATCCATGTCCCTTCATGATCTCTTTCCTTTTTATGACTGATTAGTATTCCTTGGTGTGTATGTACCACATTTTCTTTATCCAGTCTATCATCGATGGACATTTGGGTTGATTCCATGTCTTTGCTATTGTGAATAGTGCTTTGGTGAACATATGCACGTGTGTATCTTTATAATAGAATGATTTATATTCCTTTGGGTATATGTCTAGTAATGGGATTGCTGGATCCAATAGTAATTCTGGTTCTAGGTCTTTGAGGAATCGCCACAGTGTCTTCCACAATGGTTGAACTAACACCACCAACAGTGTAAAAGCATTCCTATTTTTCCATAGCTTCACCGGTGTCTGTTGTTTCTTGACTTTTTAATAATTGCCATTCTGACTGGTGTGAGATGGTATCTCATTGTGGTTTTGATTTGTATTTCTCTAACCATCAATGATGTTGACCTTTTTATCATGTTTATTGGCCACATGAATGTCTTCTTTTGAGAAGTGTGTATTCATGTCCTTTGCCCACTTTTTTATGGGGTTGTTTGGTTTTTTGTTATAAATTTGTTTAAGTTCCTTGTAGATACTAGATATTAGACCTTTGTCAAATGGATAGATTACAAAAATTTTCTCCCATTCTGGAGGTTGTCTGTTCACTCTGATGATAGTTTCTTTTGCTGTGCAGAAGCTCTTTTATTAGATCCCATTTGTCAATTTTTGCTTTTATTGCAGTTGCTGTTGACATTTTTTGTTATGAAATCTTTGCCTGTGCCTATGTCCTGAATCGTATTGCCTAGATTTTCTTCTAGGGTTTTCATAGTTCTGGGTTTTACATTTAAGTGTTGAATCTATGTTGAGTTAATTTTTGTATAAGGTGTGAGGCAAGGGTCTAGATTCAATGTTCTGCATGTGGCTAGCCAGTTTTCCCAGCACCACTTTTAAATAGGGAATCCTTTCCCTATTGCTTGTTTTTGTCAGGTTTGTCAAATATAAAATGGTTGATGTGTAGCCTTATTTCTGATGTCTTATTTCTGTTCCATTGGTCTATATGTCTGTTTTTGTACCTGTACCATGATGTTTTGGTTACTCCAGTATAGTTTGAAGTCAGGTGGTGTGATGTCTCCAGCTTTGTTCTTTTTTTTTGGATTGTCTTGGCTATATAGGCTCTTTTTTGTTTCCGTATGAATTTTAAAGTAGTTTTTTCTAATTCTGTGAAGAACGTCAATGGTAGTTTAATAAGAATAGCATAGGATCTATAAATTACTTTGGGCAGTATGGCTGTGGATTTGTCATAAATGGCTCTTATTTTGAAGTATGTTCCTGTAAGTACCTTGTTTATTGAGAATTTTTAACATGAAGCAATGTTGAATTTTATCGAAGGCCTTTTCCTGTGTCTATTCAGATAATCATATGGTTTTTGTCTTTAGTTCTGTTCACGTGATGAATTGTGTTTATTGATTTGCGTGTGTTGAACCAGACTTGCATCCCGTGGATGAAGCTGACTTGATGGTGGTGGATAAGTTTTTTGATGTGCTGCTGGATTTGGTTCCCAGTATTTTATTGAGGATTTTTGCATCGATGTTCATCAGGGATATTGGCCTTAACGTTTTTTTCTTTCTTTGTTGTGTCTCTGCCAGGTTTTGGTATCAGGATGATGCTGTCCTCATAAAATGAGTTAGGAAGTAGCCCCTCCTTTTCAATTGTTTGAAATAGTTTCAGTAGAAATGGTACCTGTTCCGTTTTGTACCTCTGGTAGAATTCAGCTGTAAATCCATCTGGTCCTGGGCTTTTTTTGCTTGGTTGTTTGTAGGCTATTTATTACTGCCTCAGTTTCAGAACTTGTATATTAGTCTATTCAGGGATTCAACTTCTTCCTGGTTCAGTGTTGGGAGGGTGTATGTGTCCAGCAATTTATCCATTTCTTCTAGATTTTCTAGTTTATTTGCATAGAGGTGTTTGTAGTATTCTCTGATGGTTGTCTGCATTTCTGTGGGGTCAATAGGGATATCCCCTGTATCATTTTTTATTGTGTCTCTTTGATTCTTCTCTTAAGTGATTCTTGTATCTCAACCTCCCAAGTAGCTGAGATTACAGGTGTGCACCATCATGCCTGGCTAATTTTTGTATTTTTGATAGAGATAGGGTTTCACCATGTTGGCCAGGCTGATCTCAAACTCCTGACCTCATGTGATCCACCTGCCTCAGCCTCCCAAACTGCTGGGATTACAGGCGTGAGCCAGCATGCCCAGCCTTATTGATTTTTTGAAGGGTTTTTTGTGTCTCTGTATCCTTCATTTCTGCTCTGATCTTGGTTATTTCTTGTCTTCTGCTAGCTTTGGGTTTTGTGTGTGTGTGTGTGTATTTTGTGTGTTTTCTTCCTTATTTATTTTTACTACTTAAAATTAAATATTGCTTCTAAAACAGAACATGTGAAAATAAACTTTTTTTTAAAGAGAAATGTTATTTTTATTAGATTTGATTGGTGAAGTTTTTTTGGAGCCTATGGCATCATAATTTGCCCTCAAAGAACAGATAGAATTTGGAAATATATTTTAGGTGAGCAAAAGAGTCTTAGAGATGGTAAGATTTTAGATATGTATTGGGATACTAGTTCTTTCAGCATTTTTAAAATCACCTTTTTATGTACATTGGATATTTTTTAACTACTTTTAAAATATGGGGAGTTTCAAAGGTCAAACTCCAGTATGTATTGTTAAGTTTATTCATTTCTGGCACATTTCTTCATTTTGATGTTAGATTCATCTTGTAGCACCAAATGTTAACATGTAACATTCATACATTACAGTGTAACATTCTGCACGACTAAATGAATCCAGAGTGTTAGTCCAAAATGTTAATCTGAACTTATATTCAGAGATTATTAATGAAATTCTGAAGCATAAATTATGAGAGTACTCAGCAAGTGCTCTAAAATAGTATCACTATGTCCATGTAAAAAACTAAATAATCTTTCCAATAATTACACATTGTTGAACATAAATTATTGAGTTTTTCTTTATACAGCCAATCTATGCTGAGCTGAAACTTTGTTATTATGTCTTCTTTTTTAGCCTGACACTATTAGAAGCAATCCTCACCATATTAAAGAAACTACAAGTGATGATGTAAGTACTGCTGACACTAACAGCCTGAAGAAAAGCATGAGAATCACTAAAAACAAATTGAGGAACATACAGTCAGCAATGGTTTTTGTCCATTCTGTTTTTCAACACATCTGTTAAACTTTTATTTGTATTATTCAGAATTTTATTTTGGTATCAGCAGTTGGGTTTTCTTGGTCCAGTATGCTTTTGCATTTCTTTATTAATATCAATTATACTTATTTAAAATTCTTATTTATGATATGTATTTTCCTTTGGTGTTCATTTATTTATTGTGTTTGATTTGGTGGCTTTCCTTCATTGTGCTACCTTCCTTTAGTGTTTGTTAATTTTCCGTTGTCAAGCCATCTTTATATTTGAGAATGTCTGTTCTGTTCCTTGTTGGTTGTTTTTGACATGGTCTGCCTCTGCAGTTTGTGGGAATTGTACCTACCTGAAGTATACTGCCCTTTCTCTCTGTGCTGCCATGCTTAATCCATGGGTGAAAGTCAGCACAAATGGAGATGGGAAGCAGAGCTGTTCATCCCAGCTCCTTGATTGGTCATCCTTTGGTCTATCTAGTTTATGCCCTCCTCCTCCTTATATTACTTGACTCTTATCCTTATTTATTTTTTTGTATTAAAAATATATCTCATTATAAATAACTTTAATTGGGGAAAGAGGTACAAGATTATGCTTAGTCTGTCGCTGGATTTAGCTTAATATGTAATATTTAGCAGCATTCTAGTGATAGATTTAGTGTAGGGTGATCTTAGAGCTGTAGACTTTTGGTTTTGCAGTGTAATCATGAAGCAAAATAAATGACCCATGTATATTTCCTATTGGGTTGCCTGAAATATCAATTCAATGGCTCTTTTAGCAATTTCTCAGGTATCTATTAATTATATTAGAGTATATATCATGAGAAAAATATGTATGAGGAAAATAGCATTTGAGATTTGAGCAATTAATTCACTTCTTAAAGGTCCTTAAGTACTTTTTTCCTATGTCAGTTAACTCATTTCATCTGAAGTTACATTCAGAGATTGCTTATCAAATTCTGGAAGCATAAATCATGAGAGTACTCAAATGCTCTAAAATAGTATCACTGTGTCCAGGTGAAAAACTAAATAATCCTCCCAATAATTCCACATTGTCAAACATTAATTATTAGGTTTTTCTTTATATAACTAATCTATGCATAACTGAAACTTTGTTATCATGTCTTCTTTTCCTAGCCTGACACTGTTAGAAGCAATCTTCCCCATATTGAAGAAACTACAAGTGATGATGTAAGTGCTACTAACACTAACAACCTGAAGAAGACCATGAGAGTCGCTAAAAACAAATCGAGGAACACACAGTCAGCAACTGAAAATCCTAATGATGATGTTAGTGTAGAGGAAGACAAACAAGGAAAGCCAAATAAAAAGGTGGTAAAGACGGTGTCCCAGTTGACTACACAAGATATGAAATTGGAAACTCCTGAGAAGGAAGTTGATTCTACACACCAGAAAGCGCGTACAAAGCCACAGCCAGGCCTTGATCATCAGAAAAGTGAGAAGGCAAATGAGGGAAGAGAAGAGAATGATTTAGAAGAGGACGAAGAACTGATGCAAGCATATCAGCGCCATGTAACTGAAGAAATGGCAAAGGAGATTAAGAAGAAAATAAGAAAAAAACTGAAAGAACAGTTGACTTACTTTCCCTCAGATACTTTATTCCATGACGACAAATCAATCAGTGAAAAAAGGAAAAAGAAAAAGAAAGTTCCAGTCTTCTCTAAAGCTGAAACAAGGTATTTTTACATTGATAAATGTAAAATATCCTCTTAGAAAAACACTCTATTATTATCAGGGTTTGAATATTATCTGTGGTTTAACAAAGAAAATTCTTAGGCTTTTATTTGGAGACATTGCCACTAAGATAAGAACACCTAGCTTTTACTAACACCTTACTATGTACTAGGTGCTTTACGAGAATTAACTCATTTATTTCTTATGACAATCTTATGAGGAAAAGTAATATTCTTCCTATCTTGCTGATGAGGAAACTGAAGTACAGAACTAGTAAGAGGCTGAGCCAGAACCTTGTCTCTATCCTGAACTACTCACTTACATCTGCTTCCTTTTTTTTTTTTTTTAATTTATTTATTATTATTATACTTTAAGTTGTAGGGTACATGTGCATAACGTGCAGGTTTGTTACATATGTATACTTGTGCCATGTTGGTGTGCTGCACCCATCAACTCGTCATTTACATCAGGTATAACTCCCAATGCAATCCCTCCCCCCTCCCCCCTCCCCATGATAGGCCCCGGTGTGTGATGTTCCCCTTCCTGAGTCCAAGTGATCTCATTGTTCAGTTCCCACCTATGAGTGAGAGCATGCGATGTTTGGTTTTCTGTTCTTGTGATAGTTTGCTAAGAATGATGGTTTCCAGCTGCATCCATGTCCCTACAAAGGACACAAACTCATCCTTTTTGATGGCTGCATAGTATTCCATGGTGTATATGTGCCACATTTTCTTAATCCAGTCTGTCACTGATGGACATTTGGGTTGATTCCAAGTCTTTGCTATTGTGAATAGTGCTGCAATAAACATACGTGTGCATGTGTCTTTATAGCAGCATAATTTATAATCCTTTGGGTATATACCCAGTAATGGGATGGCTGGGTCTTATGGTACATCTAGTTCTAGATCCTTGAGGAATCGCCATACTGTTTTCCATAATGGTTGAACTAGTTTACAATCCCACCAACAGTGTAAAAGTGTTCCTATTTCTCCACATCCTCTCCAGCACCTGTTGTTTCCTGACTTTTAATGATCGCCATTCTAACTGGTGTGAGATGGTATCTCATTGTGGTTTTGATTTGCATTTCTCTGATGGCCAGTGATGATGAGCATTTTTTCATGTGTCTGTTGGCTGTATGAATGTCTTCTTTTGAGAAATGTCTGTTCATATCCTTTGCCCACTTTTTGATGGGGTTGTTTGTTTTTTTCTTGTAAATTTGTTTGAGTTCTTTGTAGGTTCTGGATATTAGCCCTTTGTCAGATGAGTAGATTGCAAAAATTTTCTCCCATTCTGTAGGTTGCCTGTTCACTCTGATGGTAGTTTCTTTTGCTGTGCAGAAGCTCTTTAGTTTAATGAGATCCCATTTGTCAATTTTGGCTTTTGCTGCCATTGCTTTTGGTGTTTTAGACATGAAGTCTTTGCCCATGCCTATGTCCTGAATGGTACTACCTAGGTTTTCCTCTAGGATTTTTATGGTATTAGGTCTAACATTTAAGTCTCTAATCCATCTTGAATTAATTTTTGTATAAGGAGTAAGGAAAGGATCCAGTTTCAGCTTTCTACTTATGGCTAGCCAATTTTCCCAGCACCATTTATTAAATAGGGAATCCTTTCCCCATTTCTTGTTTCTCTCAGGTTTGTCAAAGATCAGATGGCTGTAGATGTGTGGTATTATTTCTGAGGACTCTGTTCTGTTCCATTGGTCTATATCTCTGTTTTGGTACCAGTACCATGCTGTTTTGGTTACTGTAGCCTTGTAGTATAGTTTGAAGTCAGGCAGCGTGATGCCTCCAGCTTTGTTCTTTTGACTTAGGATTGTCTTGGAGATGCGGGCTCTTTTTTGGTTCCATATGAACTTTAAAGCAGTTTTTTCCAATTCTGTGAAGAAAGTCATTGGTAGCTTGATGGGGATGGCATTGAATCTATAAATTACCTTGGGCAGTATGGCCATTTTCACGATATTGATTCTTCCTATCCATGAGCATGGTATGTTCTTCCATTTGTTTGTGTCCTCTTTTATTTCACTGAGCAGTGGTTTGTAGTTCTCCTTGAAGAGGTCCTTACATCCCTTGTAAGTTGGATTCCTCGGTATTTTATTCTCTTTGAAGCAATTGTGAATGGAAGTTCATTCCTGATTTGGCTCTCTGTTTGTCTGTTACTGGTGTATAAGAATGCTTGTGATTTTTGCACATTGATTTTGTATCCTGAGACTTTGCTGAAGTTGCTTATCAGCTTAAGGAGATTTTGGGCTGAGACAATGGGGTTTTCTAAATATACAATCATGTCATCTGCAAACAGGGACAATTTGACTTCTTCTTTTCCTAACTGAATACCCTTGATTTCTTTCTCTTGCCTGATTGCCCTGGCCAGAACTTCCAACACTATGTTGAATAGGAGTGGTGAGAGAGGGCATCCCTGTCTTGTGCCAGTTTTCAAAGGGAATTTTTCCAGTTTTTGCCCATTCAGTATGATATTGGCTGTGGGTTTGTCATAAATAGCTCTTATGATTTTGAGGTACGTTCCATCAATACCGAATTTATTGAGCGTTTTTAGCATGAAGGGCTGTTGAATTTTGTCAAAAGCCTTTTCTGCATCAATTGAGATAATCATGTGGTTCTTGTCTTTGGTTCTGTTTATATGCTGGATTATGTTTATTGATTTGCGAATGTTGAACCAGCCTTGCATCCCAGGGATGAAGCCCACTTGATCATGGTGGATAAGCTTTTTGATGTGTTGCTGAATCCGGTTTGCCAGTATTTTATTGAGGATTTTGCATCGATGTTCATCAGGGATATTGGTCTAAAATTCTCTTTTTTGTTGTGTCTCTGCCAGGCTTTGGTATCAGGATGATGTTGGCCTCATAAAATGAGTTAGGGAGGATTCCCTCTTTTTCTATTGATTGGAATAGTTTCAAAAGGAATGGTACCAACTCCTCCTTGTACCTCTGGTAGAATTCAGCTGTGAATCCATCTGGTCCTGGACTTTTTTTGGTTGGTAGGCTATTAATTATTGCCTCAATTTCAGAGCCTGCTGTTGGTCTATTCAGGGATTCAACTTCTTCCTGGTTTAGTCTTGGAAGAGTGTAAGTGTCCAGGAAATTATCCATTTCTTCTAGATTTTTCCAGTTTATTTGCGTAGAGGTGTTTATAGTATTCTCTGATGGTAGTTTGTATTTCTGTGGGGTCGGTGGTGATATCCCCTTGATCATTTTTAATTGCGTCGATTTGATTCTTCTCTCTTTTCTTCTTTATTAGTCTGGCTAGTGGTCTGTCAATTTTGTTGATCTTTTCAAAAAACCAACTCCTGGATTCATTGATTTTTTGGAGAGTTTTTTGTGTCTCTATCTCCTTCAGTTCTGCTCTGATCTTAGTTATTTCTTGCCTTCTGCTAGCTTTCGAATGTGTTTGCTCTTGCTTCTCTAGTTCTTTTAATTGCGATGTTAGAGTGTCAATTTTAGATCTTTCCCGCTTTCTCTTGTGGGCATTTAGTGCTATAAATTTCCCTCTACACACTGCTTTAAATGTGTCCCAGAGATTCTGGTATGTTGTATCTTTGTTCTCATTGGTTTCAAAGAACATCTTTATTTCTGCCTTCATTTCGTTATGTACCCAGTAGTCATTCAAGAGCAGGTTGTTCAGTTTCCATGTAGTTGAGCGGTTTTGATTGAGTTTCTTAGTCCTGAGTTCTAGTTTGATTGCACTGTGGTCTGAGAGACAGTTTGTTATAATTTCTGTTCTTGTACATTTGCTGAGGAGTGCTTTACTTCCAATTACGTGGTCGATTTTGGAGTAAGTACGATGTGGTGCTGAGAAGACTGTATATTCTGTTGATTTGGGGTGGAGAGTTCTATAGATGTCTATTAGGTCTGCTTGCTGCAGAGATGAGTTCAATTCCTGGATATCCTTGTTAACTTTCTGTCTCGTTGATCTGTCTAATGTTGACAGTGGAGTGTTGAAGTCTCCCATTATTATTGTATGGGAGTCTAAGTCTCTTTGTAAGTCTCTAAGGACTTGCTTTATGAATCTGGGTGCTCCTGTATTGGGTGCATATATATTTAGGATAGTTAGCTCTTCCTGTTGAATTGATCCCTTTACCATTATGTAATGGCCTTCTTTGTCTCTTTTGATCTTTGATGGTTTAAAGTCTGTTTTATCAGAGACTAGTATTGCAACCCCCGCTTTTTTTTGTTCTCCATTTGCTTGGTAAATCTTCCTCCATCCCTTTATTTTGAGCCTGTGTATGTCTCTGCGTGTGAGATGGGTCTCCTGAATACAGCAGACTGATGAGTCTTGACTCTTTATCCAGTTTGCCAGTCTGTGTCTTTTAATTGGAGCATTTAGAAATTAGTCCATTTACATTTAAGGTTAATATTGTTATGTGTGAACTTGATCCTGCCATTATGATATTAACTGGTTATTTTGCTCGTTAGTTGATGCAGTTTCTTCCTAGCCTCGATGGTCTTTACATTTTGGCATGTTTTTGCAATGGCTGGTACCGGTTGTTCCTTTCCATGTTAGTGCTTCCTTCAGGTCTCTTGTAAGGCAGGCCTAGTGGTGACAAAATCTCTAAGCATTTGCTTATCTGTAAAGGATTTTATTTCTCCTTCACTTATGAAACTTAGTTTGGCTGGATATGAAATTCTGGGTTTAAAATTCTTTCTTTAAGAATGTTGAATATTGGCCCCCACTCTCTTCTGGCTTGAGAGTTTCTGCGAGAGATCTGCTGTTAGTCTGATGGGCTTCCCTTTGTGGGTAACCGACCTTTCTCTCTGGCTGCCCTTAAGATTTTTTCCTTCATTTCAACTTTGGTGAATCTGGCAATTATGTGTCTTGGAGTTGCTCTTCTCGAGGAGTATCTTTGTGGCGTTCTCTGTATTTCCTGGATTTGAATGTTGGCCTGCCCTACTAGGTTGGGGAAGTTTTCCTGGATGATATCCTGAAGAGTGTTTTCCAGCTTGGTTCCATTTTCCCCCGCACTTTCAGGCACCCCAATCAGACGTAGATTTGGTCTTTTTACATAATCCCATACTACTTGCAGGCTTTGTTCATTTCTTTTTCTTCTTTTTTCTTTTGGTTTCTCTTCTCGCTTCATTTCATTCATTTGATCCTCAATCGCAGATACTCTTTCTTCCAGTTGATCGAGTCGGTTACTGAAGCTTGTGCATTTGTCATGTATTTCTCATGTCATGGTTTTCATCTCTTTCATTTCGTTTATGACCTTCTCTGCATTAATTACTCTAGGCATTAATTCTTCCACTTTTTTTTCAAGATTTTTAGTTTCTTTGCGCTGGGTACGTAATTCCTCCTTTAGCTCTGAGAAATTTGATGGACTGAAGCCTTCTTCTCTCATCTCGTCAAAGTCATTCTCCGTCCAGCTTTGATCCGTTGCTGGCGATGAGCTGCGCTCCTTTGCGGGGGGAGATGCGCTCTTATTTTTTGAATTTCCAGCTTTTCTGCCCTGCTTTTTCCCCATCTTTGTGGTTTTATCTGCCTCTGGTCTTTGATCATGGTGATGTACTGATGGGGTTTTGGTGTAGGTGTCCTTCCTGTTTGATAGTTTTCCTTCTAACAGTCAGGACCCTCAGCTGTAGGTCTGTTGGAGATTGCTTGAGGTCCACTCCAGACCCTGTTTGCCTGGGTATCAGCAGCAGAGGCTGCAGAAGATAGAATATTTCTGAACAGCGAGTGTACCTGTCTGATTCTTGCTTTGGAAGCTTCCTCTCAGGGGTGTACTCCACCCTGTGAGGTGTGGGGTGTCAGACTGCCCCTAGTGGGGGATGTCTCCCAGTTAGGCTACTCAGGGGTCAGGGACCCACTTGAGCAGGGAGTCTGTCCCTTCTCAGATCTCAACCTCCGTTTTGGGAGATCCACTGCTCTCTTCAAAGCTGTCAGACAGAGTCGTTTGCGTCTGCAGAGGTTTCGGCTGCGTTTGTTATTGCCCTGTCCCCAGAGGTGGAGTCTACAGAGACAGGCAGGTTTCCTTGAGCTGCTGTGAGCTCCACCCAGTTCGAGCTTCCTAGCAGCTTTGTTTACCTACTTAAGCCTCAGCAATGGCGGGTTCCCCTTCCCCAGCCTCGCTGCTGCCTTGCCGGTAGATCACAGACTACTGTGCTAGCAATGAGGGAGTCTCCGTGGGTGTGGGACCCTCCCGGCCAGGTGTGGGATATGATCTCCTGGTGTGCCTGTTTGCTTAAAGCGCAGTATTGGGGTGGGAGTTACCCGATTTTCCAGGTGTTGTGTGTCTCAGTTCCCCTGGCTAGGAAAAGGGATTCCCTTCCCCCTTGCGCTTCCCAGGTGAGGCAATGCCTCGCCCTGCTTCAGCTCTGGCTGGTCGGGCTGCAGCAGCTGACCAGCACCGATCGTCCGGCACTCCCCAGTGAGATGAACCCAGTACCTCTGTTGAAAATGCAGAAATCACCGGTCTTCTGTGTCGCTCGCGCTGGGAGTTGGAGACTGGAGCTGTTCCTATTCGGCCATCTTGCTCCGCCCCCCCATCTGCTTTCAAAGTAATAGCAACCTAATTACTTCCCCTTTTTTGAGTTACAAATACCTGTTTGGATATATAAATACAGCTTTTTTTTCTTACACAAATAACATTAGCTCATTGTAGAAAAACTATTCAAAGATAATCGCTATTGGCAATTTGTTATTCTAATCTTTTTCTCTATATGATGCTTATATATGTACTTGTATATAGAGTATGAGTTTAAATGAACATATACATATACATATGTTCTCCACTTGGATAAAACAATAAGATAAAAATGCTTTTTAACTGCTATAATTAACTTTATTCCCCCCTGCAGTTCTCCTCTAGAGAAACAGCTTGAAGTGGGAACATTCTATATGTGACTATTCCTTGGCATTCAGGATCAATTTCCCCTAAAACCCTCAGCCAAAAATAATTCCCCTCTTTTTAAAAGCTAGGTGACCAGTGATAATAAAGATATGGCAAACCAGGTTGCTGCAGGGACATGATAGTATGTATTATCTGTTGATGCATTAAAGAGATTATCCCATAATTTAGCAGCTTTTAGGATGACAAGCATTTATTGTCTCATAGTTTCTATAGGCCAGCAATCTGGGAGTGACTTTGCTGGGTGTCTCTGTCAATCACAGGTTGCAATCAGGATGTTAGCCAGGACTGAAGTCACCTTAAGCCTTGACTTGGGGAGGATCTATCAAGTGACATAGCTGTTAGAAGGCCTTAGAAGATCCAGTGCTAAGCTCATTCATGTGGCTGTTGGTAGGCCTCAGGTTCTGACTGGCTTTGGGCCAGGTATACCAGTTCCTTGCCACGTGGACGTCCTCCGTGTGGTCTACTCATAATATGGCCACTTGCTTCTCAGACCAAGGGCTCTGAGAGAGTGAGAGCAAGACAGAAGTCACAGTCTTTTTGGAACCTAATCTTATAAGTGGCATTCATTGCTTTTATCATATTCTGTCTGTTAGAAGTAAGTCATTAGGTCCAGCCCACACTGAAATATTTCTCTAGTCTTATTTTCCTCAGCCCATTTTTTTGGAAAGGTGACTAAACATATTGGAAATTAATTTTTATTATTTAAATGCAGATTTTTTTTACTTGATACATTAAAATGTTAGTAGGTTGGTTTTTCTTTAAACTCAGTATGCCTCTGGGTTGCTACTTCTTACCATTTACTAGTCGTGTGATATAGATTTTAATTTTAGTAATAGCCTTCTGAAAATGTAGTGACTCACCAACCACTAGAAAATACAAGGAATTAATTTTTACCTAGAAGTCTCAGCCTGAGCAATATGGTGAAACTCCATCTCTACAAGTACAAAAATCAGCCAGGTATGGTGGCATGTGCCTGTAGTCCCAGCTATTTGGGAGGCAGAAGTGGGAGGATTGCTGGAGCCTGGGAGGTTGAGGCGGCAGTGAGCTATGATTGTACCACTGCACTCCAACTTGGGTGACAGAGCGAGACCTAGTCGTAAAAAAAAAAAAAAAGAAAAAAGAGAAATCAAAAGTTGTGCTTGTGAAGCCTCTTGAAGACTGAACAAACCTAGAATACATTTTATACTTTTAAATAAGGTAATTTTAAAATTGGTTGATCAGTCATTTACTTGGCAGCAGGGTGGGCGTGCTTCGATAAGTCCTATGTAAAGAGAGATCAATTGCTCATAAAATATTAATACAATTTCCTTTCCCCTGGGGTTTAGAGCTCAGTTTTAGTTGAATCATGTAACTCCTTGCGAAGTTACAACCTATGATACCTATTTGACAGCTAACCATTTTAGTGTGTAGGAAAATATATGCATCTCAAGAAAAAATAGTAGTGATTTTAGGATTATCTTTGCTCCTATTTACTGTTCACTCTGTTGCATCATGAATAATAATAATTATTATAATAATATATCTGTAATGGCTGATACTTGGATTATATTTGTAGTACATTGACCATCTCTGGTGACACAGTTGAAGGTGAACAAAAGAAGGAATCTTCAGTTAGACCAGTTTCTTCAGATTCTCATCAAGATGGTGAAATAAGCTCAATGGAAAAAAACACAGAAGGCAGCATGCAAGATGACACAAAACCTAAACCAAAAAAGCCAAAAAAGAAGGCTAAAGCAGGTTTGTTATACAAATTAAGTGAAAAATTGTGTACGTTGGTAGCAATAACTTGATTCTAGGAATTTTAGCCCTTAAAAACTAAAACTGATGGGTATACTTGAAATTAATTCAATATAGAGTATGTGGTACTTGTTCTTGGATTCATCTAGATTAAAGTACACGTGTATTTGTAGCTGTTTGTCTTTGATGAGTTTGTATCACTTGTAAATATATTCAAGTTATGCATTTTTTTAAAAACAGCATTGTCTTTTTCTAATTGATTTGTAATGATAGTTTATATACTTCAATATGAGATTATTCTCAGATATATACATACATGCATATATATTGCAAATGTCTTCCTACTCTAGTTTATTTCTCTCTCATTGGTGTCTTTCGAAAAGCAGAAATTTTTGAATAGTCCAGTTTATCCGTTTTTTCCTTTGAAGGTAAGTGTTCTCTGTGATTTAAGAAATCTTTCCCAAGTTCTGAAGATGTTTCTCTAAAAGTTTTATTTTAAAAGTTTTACTGTTTCTGTTTTACTTTTCACATTTATATATGCAGTTCATCTGAAATTGGTTTTTGTTTGTTAGGAAGCAGTGATCAAGATACATTTTCTCGTGTAGATATATATTATAATTGACCCAGTACCATTTACTGAAGAGAGTGTCTTTTTGCCTCTGTGTGGCAGTGTCACTTTTCTCATAAATAACATGACTGTGTTTACGTGTGGATCAGTTTTTATAGTCTCTATTCTTTTACAGTAGACAGTCTGTACCAACACCACCATGTCTAAATACTGTAGCTTTTTAATAGGTCTTGCTATTTAGTATTGTACTCTAGCTTTTTCCTTCTTCATCTGCATTGCCTAAGCTATTCTTTACTTTGCATTTCTATATGGATTTTAGAAGAGCTTCTCAATTCTCCCTCTTCCTTCCTATACCCATCCTGTCTTGCAAGCTGTGATTTTGATCTAGACTGGGTGAATCTCTAGAGATTCACAGTATAATAGCTCTCTAAAGAGACTTGACATTTTTACAAAGTATTGATTCTCAGTCTATGAATTTGGTATGCACTTCCATTTATTTGCATCTTATTTAACATATCCCAGTAATATACATTTCAGCAGAATCTCTCCTTAGATTTATTCCTAGGAGTTGATGTTTCTTAATGATATTGTAAATGGCGTTTAAAAATTTTTTGATTTTGGCTGGGCGTGGTGGCTCACGCCTGTAATCCCAGCACTTTGGGAGGCTGAGGCGGGCGGATCACGAGGTCAGGCGATGAAGACCATCCTGCCTAACACGGTGAAACCCCGTCTCTACTAAAAATACAGAAAATTAGCCGGGCATGATGGCGGGCACCTGTAATCCCAACCACTCGGGAGGCTGAGGCAGGAGAATGTGTGAACTTGGGAGGCAGAGCTTGCAGTGAGCTGAGATCGCATCACTGCACTCCAGCCTGGGCGATAGAGTGAGATTCTGTCTCCAAAAAGAATTTTTTTTTGCTTTGTATTTGTTGCTGGTACATATGTGTAGAAATGTGTTTACATTTTTTTTAACATTGTATCTATTGATTTGCTAAATTCACTTATTGCAAGAGTTTATTTATTTATTTGTTTTTGAGACAGGGTGTCGCCTGTCACTCAGGCTGGAGTGCAGTGGCGTGATCTCAGCTTATGGCAACCTCCATTTCCCAGGCTCAAGCGATCCTCCCACTTCAGTCTTCCAAGTAGCTGGGACTACAGGCATGCACCACCATTCCCGGCTAATTTTTTTGTAGAGACAAGATCTCACTACATATTCCAGGCTAGTCTCAAACTCCTGGGCGCAAGCAATTCGCCCGCCTCACCCTCCCAGATTACTGGGATTACAGGTGTGAGCCATCGTGGCCAACAGAGTTTATTGTTATATTGTTTTGATTTTTCTACATATACAATAATGTAATCTGTTAATAATGATAGTTTTATTGCTTCCTTTTCAGTCCTTATGCCTTATAATTTAGCTTGTCTTGATACGGATCAAGATTTAGTTTCTTATCAGTCTTTTCACTTTTTTTAAAGCTTTTCTCAGCTATTTGATAGACTGTAGTTTTTGATCCAAATGTTCAAATTTTCATTTCTGTAGCATCTGAAAGGCTGTCCCATTTTTTCATTCATGGGATTGGCAATTTGTTTTCTCTCAAATTCTTGATCAGTCTTAGGATTTTAAGTTTATGAGTCTTTTCAAAAACCTTTGGCTTTGATTTTCTCTATTGTACATTTATGTATTAGTAGTTTTTTCTTGTAACTTTATTATTTTCCTTTGTACTTATTCGGGTTTTTTTTGCTACTTATTTCTAACTTTATAATTTGGATTTTATAAGAAAAATTTCAGTCTTCTTTTATATGCATTTAAGACTAAATTTCCATCAAAGTACTACCTTACCTGTATCTCCAAAATTGTTAATATTGTGTCTTTTTATTATCATTTAACAGAAAATTTCGTTTTAATTGATCGTGCATTATTTAGAAGTATGTTGCTTAGTTTCAGGCAGCAGATGCTTTTCTAGTTATCTTTTATTGGTTTCTGTCTTCCATTGTTGTCAGATAACATTATGAATGATTTCAATCCTCTGAGTTTATTGAGGCATTTTTTAATGACCATTTTATGGTCAGATTTGGTAAATATTCCATGCTCACTTGAAAAGAATGCAGTTTCTAATGTTGAGTGCAGTGTCCTTTGAATGTCAGTTAGGTCAAGTTTAATCGTGCTCAGTTCTTCTTATTAGTTTTTTTGGTCTACTTATTCCGTCAGCTGTTGAGAGAGGTATTAACATTTCCACTCTGATTTTATTTTTCTTGTATCTCTTATCAAGTTATCACTTTTATCATTATGCAGTGCCCTTCTTTATCTCTAATAATTCATAGCCCTAAATAATTTTTTAGCCCTAAAATACAATGGGAGTTTCAGTTTAGCCCTTCAGTGCTTTTCCACTTGCCATTTGCCACTTCAAAATTTGGCAAATTCTTTGAGCGGGAGACTGGCTATATGTTAGACATCCTTCAGGTATCCTCTATCTTTTTGTCACTCTCGCTGCCATGCATGCCGAAATCTCTGCTGGCTTCTCTGTCCCTCAGTAGCAACCTTCTGCCAGAAATCGCACCTGGATTATCAACCTAGATCTGTGACCAGAATTGGTAGATGACCCCAGGTGAAGAGTGGCTCTTGGTCCTCAGTGTAAATTGACCACACCCTCCAGGGCTTCATCTTTGCCTGTTTTGCTTTGGTCCCCTTCCCCTGGCAGATCCTGGTCTGCTAGCACCACAAGCCTGGGAGATTTCACTACCTCTCTAGCTTCTCTATAGCATCGGAATTCAGTTTTGTGAGAAAAACTGGTCATGTTTGAGGCTTCTCAAATCTCCAGTTTTATCATTTTAGTCCTGTGGAATGATGAAAGTGTTGCTGATTTCTCATTCTCCTGGCAGTGACCTTCTGCTTAAGCCAAACTCTGATCTTCACTCACACCCTGAATCAGCAAATGTCCCCAGAGACAGAAACAGCTGCCAGTCCATCAGCTGACCTCTGACTGATTCTCCCTTTCTGGAATTTTGATCTGTCTAGTATACCTTGTTTCTGTACTTTCTGATGCCTTTAAAATTTAAAATAAGATATTCGTAATTTATTTGGCTCTTTCAAGTTGTTACCCAAAGTGTTTACCTGCTGCATCCTACTGCATCCTACCCAGAGGTAGAAATTCTAGCTGAGTCATGTATATTCCACTTAGAAAATACCTAGATATAGTTACTTTTCTGACTTTGACTCTCTTTTTTTTTTTTCTTTTTGTATTTCTCCTACTTATTAGGAAAAATATAAACAAGGATTTCTCACCTTATTTTTAATGCATTAGCAAATGTAGTATTTTACTGTCGGACTATGGTTTGCTGTTATCTGGCTTTTTCTTTCTTTCCTCTTGAAGTTCCTTTGTTAACAAAGTGAAATCATCATAGATCTTAAAGATTAGCTTATATGTAAATACAACTGTGGGAACAACTAATTATAACATTGATTTTTTTTTTCCATGCGTGTAGTTACAGATGATAACGAAGATGTTGATGGTGATGGTGTTCATGAAATAACAAGCCGAGATAGCCCAGTCTATCCCAAATGTTTGCTTGATGATGACCTTGTCCTGGGAGTTTATATTCACCGAACTGATAGACTTAAGTCAGATTTTATGATTTCTCACCCAATGGTAAAAATTCATGTGGTTGATGAGCATACTGGTCAACATGTCAAGAAAGATGATAGGTAACTTTTTTTAATTCCACAGCTAATTCTTGAAACTGAAACTGTCTGCAGTAGAAGTCTTTTTTCTGCCATTGGTAGTTGAAAGTCAGTGGGAATAGAGTTAGGATTTGTATTAGAGAATAGTCTACTAGTTGTAGGTGTTCTTCAATCATTAACATTGATCAGAATGTTGTAGAAGAAATGGAGAACATAGAATTCAGTAATTACTTCTTTTTTTGGTGGGGAGGGGATGGAGTCTTGCTTTGTTACCCAGACTGGAATGCAGTGGTGCAATCTTGGCTCACTGCAACCTCAGCCTCCCAGGTTCAAGCAATTCTCTTGCTTCAGCCTCCTGAGTAGCTGGGATTACAGGTGCCCGCCACCACACCTGGCTAATTTTTGTATTTTTAGTGGAGGCGGGGTTTGGCCAAGCTGATCTCGAACTCCTGACCTCAGGCAATCTGCCTGCCTCAGCCTCCCAAAGTGCTGGGATTACAGGCATGAGCCACCACGCCTGGCTCAGTGATTACTTTTAAGTGGAAGGGAATAATTCATTTTAAGTGGTAGAGAGCTTCTACCAGCTTACTAGACATAATTTATGACATAAAATTGCATTGCAAATATTTTATATTGCATTTGTAAATGCTTTAATTGTCCAATCTTATATTTTTCTTTTGAAAGTAATGTTATCTGGGCCTCAAGTAAGGTAGATGAATCTTTAATGTTTTTTCTAAGATTACTTCTATAGCTAATGCATGCTTAGCTATGAAATCCCAAATAAAAAGTACAATGAAATACATGTTTATACTAGAATTAAAAAAAAAAATTGTTTGAAAAGCCAGTGGGGAATGGAAACAGGAAGATTGTCCAAAAAAAAACCCATTCACTTATTCATTTGCCTTAGGGCATGCAAAGAAAATATGACAGCTCAAGGGGTTTATAGTCTTGTGCCTTTTTTTTAATGTAAAATCAATTTTATGTCTTTTTTTTTTTTTTTAAGACAAGATCTCACTCTCTCTCTCACCGGCTGGAGTGCAGTGGCACAATCACAACTTACTACAGCCTCAACCTCCCTGGGCTCAGGTGATCCTCCCACCTCAGATTCCCAAGTAGCTGGGACTGCAGACATGTGCCACCATGCCCAGCTAACTTCTTTTCTATTTTTTGTAGAAACGAGGTTTCACCATGTTACCCGGGCTGGTCCCGAACTCCTTAGCTCAAGCAGTCCACCTGCCTCAACCTCTCAAAGTGCTGGGGTTACAGGTGTGAGCCACTGTGCCTGGCAATGTCTATTTTATTATAAACTCTTATAAAATTCTGAAGGAGTTTATCCCAGCGTTGTATGGCAAAGGTATAATCATACTTCTCACTTTATATTTCTATAATAAAATAATCACGTGAAACTGATTGATAGTACACAAATGTAAGATGGACTGTTACTTTTTTAAGTCTTACAAAATTTGTAAGTTTCTAGATAGACAATCAAAATAATCTTTCCTTTTGTATTATTGTGGCAATTCATTGTTTCTGGTTGCCTCACCTTATACACTATATATTTTTTTCTCACCTCAAAATTATAAAAATTGCATTAATGGAAGTATTTTTTTTTGTACAGTGAACGACCTGTTTCATCTTACTATGAAAAAGAGAATGTGGATTATATTCTTCCTATTATGACCCAGCCATATGATTTTAAACAGTTAAAATCAAGACTTCCAGAGTGGGAAGAACAAATTATATTTAATGAAAATTTTCCCTATTTGCTTCGAGACTCTGATGAGAGTCCTAAAGTCATCCTGTTCTTTGAGGTATGAATTGAATGGAGCAATTCAAATTAAATGATAGTTAATATTTAATAGCACAGATGTAAGCTATTATTTTTAGTAGTCTAATAATGCAAAAAAAAGTAGTGTGAGAATTTAATCTCTAGGATTTAGTGTTTGTAGAATGCTGTGGAATACAAGTGAGACGCCCTTTTATAAGCAGTGATAGCATATTTGCTGAGTACTATTTGGCCTACTTTGTATCATTTAATAATTACAACAACCCTGTGACTGTTAACTGTACTGAAGTGATGAATCCACTCTATATGAATGTATTTCTCCATTTTTAACCCATTTCACAAAGCGTAAACTCATTTAACCGTATCAGACACCCTAAGAATATGTGTACCACCTGGATAAATAAATGTACACAGATCAGTTAATTAATGCAATTTCATATATAACCAAAAATGTTGTAGAACTTCTGATATGTAAAGGGTTAGTGGTGGGTCAGAGAAGTCAGTGAAAGCTTTATGGAATAGATGGCTTTTGAGCTGACTAGTTATTATATAATTTTCTTAAAAATGAGAAGGTTTGGAGTAAAAGTGATTTCTCCAAAGTTACTCAAATTTTAAGTGTAAAAAAATATGTTTGGAGATAGTTTGAACCTAGAATACCACATTTCTTTTCTCTATCATGTGTTCTGTCTCCATAAGCAAAGGAAAGTAAAGAAAGCCCCCCTTCCAGTGTAAGCTAGATGGAGAAGTTTAGCATGGGAACAGCAAGTAACTTGGCATAACCAGTGCTGAAGATTCATTTTTTAGAATTACTTGTTTTTATGATCCTTCACTTTCAGGTTGTCTGTATTTATGACACAAATATTCCAATATTTACATTTGTGATTATGTTGTGTGTGATTTACATAAAGCTGTTATTGTTGAAAAATGGGTATAATTTTTATCTTAAGGAATTTTTTCTTTGTCTTCAAAATTTGTCATTTGTTATAATTTTCAGATAGATTGTTGTATTATAAACACTTTTGGTTGCTTCTTAAGTTTTCATATAGTATGTTATTGCTTATGCAACTACTTTTTGATCTCAGTTTTTTAAGTGTTTATTGAGGACAACTTGATAATGTCTGTCAAAAGTCTTTAAAACCATTATTTTACTCCTAAGTCTTTATCTTAAGGAAAAAATGACAAGTCCATGAAGATGTGTGTGCAAGATATTTATTTCAACATTGTTTATAATGGCAAAAATTTTAGGGAGATAAAATAACCTAAATTTAGATCAGTAAGAGATATGGTTAAATAAGTTATAATTTTTGTTAAATTTATGGTATTTGTGACGGAAGAATAGTAGGCAGTCATTAACATTATGGTGTTCATGTGTATGTATTGACATGAAGAGATACTACATGTTATATGAAAATAATTTGTGAAATAGCATTATTAGATTTGTAGTTCCATACATATGTTTAGGAATGCACAGAAAAAGATTTAGCCACCATTAACATGGTGGCCATCTATGGGTCTGGATTACAAGTTGTTTTTACTTTGCATATATATTTTTTTTATATTATGTTTTCACTGAGCATGTATTATATCTTAAAAAAGATTTAGGTATCCAAAAAACACAGATGAATGGAGTCTGTATCGTTTCTCAAGCAGTATTTTTTCTACAAAAGTCTCATTTTTCGCAGCTGAGCTTTTAATAAGCACCAGTAAGTTTGAAGTGATAGCCTCTTATAAGTACCTAGAATACAATCTCTGTGGCAGGTTGGTTGCAAATCCATGAGCTTTAATGGCCAGATAGGAAAGAGGAATGGAAGAAATCCTCTAGAGAAGCCTAATTATAACATATATCCAAAGAGAAAAACCTCAACTTCAGGAAGGTGATCCAAGACAAAGACCCAGAAATAGAATCGTGAGTTTTTTAAACAATCCCTTTGAAGTCTGCTCTGATACATAAAAAACAATGAAAGCTTAAGAATTCTATGCCTAGTGTATTTGTACCTAGGTTATATTTGAGGTGATTAACACTTTGCCTTGGATTTGAAATAAATCTTAGTATTTATGAATGAAAGATAAAGTAGTCAGAAAATGGACCCTCCCTAATTGAATGAGTTAACTTTAAGGTGAATGAAATGAGATAAAAATGTTTTTACTCCCTGTAAAGATCAATGTTTTTAAGTACTATACAAATGATTTTTAAAATTTTTAATAATATACCGTTAGAAAATACTAAATTTTAGGTAGCCTAGTCTTCTGTGAATTTATTTGCAGATTCTTGATTTCTTAAGCATGGATGAAATTAAGAATAATTCTGAGGTTCAAAACCAAGAATGTGGCTTTCGGAAAATTGCCTGGGCATTTCTTAAGGTATGTTTTTCACCATTTTAAACACTTTTAAAATAGTCTTCAAATGTAGTTGGCTGCTTTCTCCCATGTCAGTTTGGTTTCATATAAGGAATTAGAATCTAAGGTAAGGTTATAAGAATGAAGAGTTATTAATTCAAGCTCAGGTTATGCTCATTCAGATTCTTAAATATTTATAAATTTTTGTGCGCCAGTTACAGTATGTGACAGTTACACTATTTGGTTCTGAGGATGTAGCATTAAAAAAGACACAAACAGCCATGCCATTTATTCAATTCAATAAATATTTATTAAGACTTTTCTATGTGCCAGCTACTGTTCTTGTCAGTGGACAAAGATGACAAATCCTTGAACTCCTGGACTTCCAGCAACATAAACATAAAACAGTTGACTTCACGATTTGTCATTTAATTATAAATTTTTATAAGTATCGTAAAGAGGTATGGGATGGATGATGAACTGTGGGATCAGGGAAAGGATTCCTGAGGAAGAGACACACTGTCACCGGTGGGGAAGAGATGGGCCATGGTAGAGGGTACATTATATGCAAAAACCCTGATATTTGAAGGAGCAGGGTTAATTCAGAAAATCAAAAAAAGGCCACCAGGATTGGAGGACAGAGACTAAGGGTGCATGAAGAGGTTGCTAAGGTCAATGGGATGTTAATTATGATGAGGTCTTCTCAGGTATTATAGCTAGAGGAAGCCATTATAGAATTTAAAGAGCAATGGGAAGCCACTATAGGATTTTAAACAAAACAATAAAATAACCTGATTTATGTTTTAGAAAGATATATACTCTGCTATGTAGAGAACAGATTCTAGAGGGAGCAAATGTGGATACTTGATAATCAAATTAGGAAATTCTTACAGTAGTCTAGGTAAAAAATGTCTTTGTACATTTGTCTTTGACTGGGTGTCTCTGACTAGGATGTCTTTGACGAGGATGTTTCAGCAAAGATAAAAGACATAGACTAATGTTTTTAAAAAGGGATATTTTAATTTTATATTATCTGTTATTCCTTCAGACATCAATTTAAATTATGAAAAGTCTTGAGTAATTAGTCTATTTTGTGCCATCTTATAAAAACATTTTCATTTGTGCATCCTTTCGTTCAACAAATGTGATCTATAAAATGTGAGACAGTCTGCTAAATACAGTACATTCATAGATAAATTAGACATTGTATATACCTGCTCTCCAATTTAATTTCTATACAGACCTGTTACCTACATTATTATGTGCTACAGAGCAGATGCTGTGAAAATCCTGTTGAAACATTTAATCCATATTGGGGGTTAGAGAGAGATTTTAGAAGTATTATAGTCAAAGGACTGAATAGCCGCCAGGTTGGCTGTGGTGAGTAAGTAATTGAGAGTGGTCTTAGGAATCACCTGGTCCAGTGTACTATCTGTGATCACCCTTATATAAATCTGTTATGCCTTTTTCCATACCAGCTTTGATACTGATTTAGAGCAAAGAAAAAAACCATTTAAAAAAAAAGCAAAAAAGGTCACTTTCACATAGTAAACACTGCCATCTTGTGGTTTTATTAGAAACTGCATTTCTTTTATGCTAAGATTCGTGCAAACCTGCAGTATTTACTGTAAGTTGCACTTGGGAAGCAGTAACATATTTCACAGCATTTTTACCTCTAAATACTGTATGGATTTTTATTTATTTATTCATCTTATGCCATTGGCAAAAATGGCAGTCAAGAATTCTCCTTATCCCATCCCCACCCCGCAGAAAGGGTAAGGTATTCTATGTGCTTCACGTCTTCTAATACTTCTGTCTTTTTCATTAGACTGTAAGCTTTTTAGAGTCACCAATGACTTCTTTTGGGTAAATATGTTGAGCATTTTTAGTCCTTATTTTACTACATCTTTTTACATTTAATATATCACTCTCTTGAAACTCCATGCTATAATATCACCAGCTCCCAGCATATTAATGGCACATAGAAAGTACTTGGTGACTATATATCGAGGGAATTAATCAACGATGATGGAAAGAGTGGCAAGGATAAAATTCATCTTCAAGAGAGTGGCATGACGGATGCAGTAGCTCACACCTGTAATCCTAGCATGCTGGGAGGCTGAGGTGAGCCAATCACTTGAGGTCAGGAGTTTGAGACCAGCCTCACCAATATGGTGAAACCCTATCTCTACTAAAAATACAAAAATTAGCCAGGTGTTGTGGTGTGCGCCTGTAATCCCAGCTACTCGGGAGGCTGAGGGGGGAGGATTGCTTGAACACAGGGAATGGAAGTTGTAGTGACCCGTGATTGTACCGCTGCACTCCAGCCTGGGTGACAGAGTGAGATTCCATCTCAAAAAAAAAAAAAAAAGAAAATGGCATGAAGACAATTAAAATTTAAATCTTTTATTGCCTATCCTATTGGTTCCAGGGATGTCTTGGATAATTGTTAAGTTATTACAATAGTTCAAATGAGACTTTATACTAATTCTCAGCTATGCCTCAGATTCTCAGGTACTTTCAGTTCTTTTAGTACATATATGTGGCTATTCTTTTAAACTAAAAAGTGGCAAAGCCTTATTTATTTAAGCTCTACATTATATAATTTATAACCATAATAGCAGGGTCTTGGCTGAATCTTAGTTGTTTACTCATGCTAAGCAGCATATTAATGTAAACTAAATTGCCTGGTTAAATTAAAACAATCTACGGAAAGTATGGTTTAGAAGCTAGGGAATATCTTTAAAATCACCGAGATGAGCTTTGGCGAGCTGTAGGAGAGTTAATGAAGGGAGTCTCGAGTGCTTATGATTTAATGACTGAATGTATCTATTACTCAGTTTGGAACTGTTCTTTACCCCTGTGTGTCATTTGACACTAATCACAATGTCACCTGCTCAGCTTATAACCTCCATTGTCTTTACATTCTTTCCTAAAGGGGTAGGGGAAAAGATGGGCTGTATTTTGCCATCTCTCTTGTTGATGCATCATTCCTGAACTCATCATTCCTGAACAACATTCTAAATTTTGCCTCTGCTACTAAAGCTTCTCCAACCAAATCACTAATGATTTCTATTTGCCAAATTTATTGAACATTTTTAAGTTATTTTGTCACATCTACGCATTTAACATATCACACTCTTGAAACTCTGTTACCTTGGTTTTCTTGACACCATCCTCTCCTAATTTTACTTATACCATTCTTTCAGTTTCCTTCATGGTCTTCTACCTACCTCCTTAATATCAGTCCTACTCATGGTTTCATCTTTAACCCAGTTTTTTTGGAACCACTTTTCTCACTGGTACTTCAGATTTGTAAATTCAGTCCCCTACTGGACATTTCAACTTGGATGACTTACAGATATCTCAGATTCTCCCAAACTGAGTATCCGTGCTGCTCTCTCTGCTACTTCAGTCGGTGGTATCACCATCTGTCCACTCTCCCAGGTTCATGAACTTGGAGTTACACTGTTTTGGTAGCTACAAGTCACGTGGCAGTTTGAATTCAAATTAAATATAATTAAAAATTTAGTTTTACATTTGTGCTAGCTATACTTCAAGTGCAGGGTAGCCACATGTGGATTCCGAATTGGTTAGAGTATTCCCATCATTATAGAAAGCTCTCTTGGACAATGCTGTCTTAGAGTCTTTCTTGACTCTGTGTTTTTTTTACTTTCCAAGTTACATGAGTCTACAGGTAACAGTTGTTAAATACGTTCCCTGCACTCAGTGCCTATTCTTCTAATTTAAGATACTTCCATGTTTTGTGTGAACTGTTGCAAAGGGTTCAAACTATCTTTCTGCTCGTAATTTGGAGAGGACATAAAGGTTAGACATTTAATTTCCTATTTTGAGTCATGGTCTAATGAAAGAGAACGTATTCTGACTTGGTAAGATTTTTATTTTTCTTATAAAAATCTCCATTTAAGGCCAGGCATGGTGGCTCACGCCTGTAATCCCAAAACTTTGGGAGGCCGAGGTGGGCAGATCACTTGAGGCCAGGAGTTCGTGACCAGCCTGGCCAACATGGCAAAACCTCTGACTGCTAAAAACACAAAAATCAGCCAGGTGTGGTAGCGTGCACCTGTAATCCCAGCTACTCAGGAGGCTGAGGCACAAGAATCACTTGAACCCAGGAGGGGGAGGTTGCAGTGAGCCGAGATTTTGCCGCTGCACTCCAGCCTGGATAACAGAATGAGATTCTGCCAAGAAAAAAAAAAAAAGACAAAAATCTCCAGTTAGTTAGTTTAAACATAAGTTTTGTTTAATAGGGTTTTAAAGATAGACCTTTGAAAGAAGGTACACTAAAATACTGAAAAAAGTAACGAATGGCTTAAATGAGTTTAATTATCTTGAAATGATTTTAACTTTTTAAAAATTTAAAACATCATAAAATTTTAACCATTAAAAATACTGATATTAAACAAATGGAAAATTTGTGTCTTGTGTAAATATACAGTTTAACCTTATTATTTCAGATGACTGTATATCAATCACATCCTTTGTTCAGTGTGAAATCTGGCACAGTAGTGTAAATGCTGTACCAACAGTCTGAAATTATTGTATATGTGAAAAGAGAGCTATCAGGAAAATATTTTAAAAGCCATTTGGGTTACCTTTTGTCAAAAATGATCTGGAACTGTGCTTAACTAAGTATGTAGTGTTCTTTGCTTTGTAAAACTAAGAAATTTCAACATGCCATATTAATCTTTTAAAAATGTTTCTGACTTTATGCTATTGCTTTGTTGGATATATTTATTTTCAGTGACGGTCACATTTTATATGAATTCTTGTTTTAAGCTTCTGGGAGCCAATGGAAATGCAAACATCAACTCAAAACTTCGTTTGCAGCTGTATTACCCACCTACTAAGGCTCGATCCCAATTAAATGTTGTTGAGGTGTTTGAATGGTGGTCAAAATGTCCAAGAAATCGTTACCCATCAACACTGTATGTAACTGTAAGAGGACTGAAAGTTCCAGACTGTGTAAGTTAATATAGTACATATAAGTGTATATCTTCTAGTGTTGAAATTAAATGGTGACATAACATGTTTTTCATTTCTAAAAAGACTTATAATAATAATTTTAATAGATATCCGGGGTTATATATTAAGACTATAATAGCTGATATTTAAAAGATGCTTAAATGAATTTTAAATGTGAAATACAGCTTTTAGTATTAGGAAAAATGTTTTGTTACAATTTGATTTTCAGAAATTAAAGATAAAAGGTGGACTTAAAGGAGAAGTTGGAAAATATTTTCTGTAAAGGGCGAGATAGTATTTTAGGCTTTCGCCCTGTAGTTTCGGTCAATTTTGCCTTTATAGTGTGAAAGTAGCTACATAGACATATGTAGGCCATAACTAAACAAATGGGTGTGATGTGTTCCAATAAAAGTTTATTTACAAAAGCAGGTAGCAGGCCAAATTTGGTGTGTGGGCTGCAGTTTGCAGAGTCCTGATTTCTGGGTACATTTTTCACAATATTATTCAAATAATCAGTACGTAATGTTTCTACTGCTGCTGTTTTCCATAGATTAATATTATAAATAATCTTAGCAAAGAATTGACCCTAAAATAAAAAAGTTTTGCTTTTGTCTTATTTCTTATAAGACATTAATTTTTCAGGTCATTTGCACATTCTGTAGCTGATATATACTGTCACCACAGGACTGATTTGCATTGGTTTGGATGGAGTTAAATCTATTATTGAGAAATTATTTTTAAAACTTGAGATTTTTATGACACTAGTTTTGTGATTTTAAAGATACGGTATTATATCAGAGCCATGGCATAACTCATAAGTATTGGTGAAGAAGCAGAAACAAAGGGCAGAGTTATTAAAATCATTTCATGTAAATTTGTAGTCATTTTTTTCCTCAAAAACTTTTAAGACTTTTTGGTTATAGGACTGTAGTTTTAAGCAGCTTTTTTATTTTATTTAGAATAATGTACAAATAAAAGTAGAATTTTTTCTGGATTACATTTTGAAAATACTTTCATATTATTTGTTTCAGTATTTTTAAAACTATATGCTAGAAAAAGAAAAAGGTGAACATGATATATAAATTTTCATATTTTAATGCATATTTAGATAAAGCCATCTTACCGCTCTATGATGGCTCTTCAGGAGGAAAAAGGTAAACCAGTGCATTGTGAACATCACCATGAGTCAAGCTCAATAGACACAGAACCTGGATTAGAAGAGTCAAAGGAAGTAATAAAGTGGAAACGACTCCCTGGGCAGGTGAAGTGTTTGATAACAGTGGATTGCTTTAGATGTTCACTTATTACCTTCAAAACTCTAGTAACTCCTAGGATATCTAGCTTACTGCTTAAAATCCTGGCTATTTATGATTTTGCCTTTCCATTAATTAATTTGACGAATAGTAAGAGTGCCTAGCATGTGTATATAAGCACTGTCTTACATTCGTTCGGGCACTTGGGCAATTGTACATTGTATTAGCTTGGGCTGCTATAACAAAATACCACACACTGGGTGGCTTAAACAGCAGACATTTATTTCTCACAGTTCTGAAGGCTGGGAAGTTCAAGATCAAGATGCTAGGCAGCCTAGTTCCTGGTGAGGGTCCCCTTCTTGACTTGGAGCCAGCCTCCTCCCTGCTGTATTCTCACGTGGTGGAGAGAGAGATCACCTTTCTTGTGTCTTTTTTTTATAAGGGCACAGATCTGATTCATAAGCGTCTCACTCTCAGGACCAAATTACCTCCCAGAGACCCCCACATCTAAATACTATCACATAGGGGATTACAGTTTTAACATACGGTTTTTGAGAGGACATAGCATTTGGTCCATAGCGAAGATCAAGGTGCTGACTGGGTTGATTTCTTCTGAGGCTTCTCCTTGTCTTACAGTTGGCTGCCCTCTTGCTGCCTCCTCACACGATCTTTGTGCATGCACGCCCCTGTTGTCTTTCCCCCGGTTGGATTAGGACCCTTCCATAATTATTTCATTTTAACGTAATCACTTCTTTAAAGACCACATCTCCAAATACTGTTACATTCTGAGGTGCTAGGGGTTAGAGCTTTAACATACTCATTTGGGTGACAAGGGGTAGGGATGTGAGTGGGAGGAGAGAGGACACAATTCAGCCTGTAACAGCAGTCAGATAACATAGATTTTTAGCCTGGGCAATATAGCAAGACCCATTCTCTTAAAAAAAGTTTTTTAATTAGGTGGGCATGCTGGCATGCACCTGTAGTCCCAGCTACTCGGGAGACTGAGGAAGGAAGATTGAGCCCAGGAATTCAAGACTGCAGTGAGCTATGACTGTGCCACTGCACTCAAGCCTGGATGACAGAATGAGACCCCATCTCTTAAAAAAAAAAATTAAAAAATTTTTAAAACAGATTTTTGATGTCTGTAAGACATATATCTCTTAATGTTTATGGATTCATGAAATTCTTTACAGCACCTGGCTTCTTGCTGAATCACACTTTGATAGAGATATGTACGTGTATGTACTTCTACCACAAGCTGAGCAGCATTTAAGCTTTTACTAAAGTGTTCTTACTAGATTAACATTTTTTGTGCCGGGCGCGGTGGCTCAAGCCTGTAATCCCAGCACTTTGGGAGGCCGAGACGGGCGGATCACGAGGTCAGGAGATCGAGACCATCCTGGCTAACACGGTGAAACCCCGTCTCTACTAAAAATACAAAAAACTTAGCCGGGCGAGGTGGCAGGCGCCTGTAGTCCCAGCTACTCGGGAGGCTGAGGCAGGAGAATGGCGTGAACCTGGGAGGCGGAGCTTGCAGTGAGCTGAGATCCGGCCACTGCACTCCAGCCTGGGTGACAGAGCGAGACTCCGTCTCAAAAAAAAAAAAAAAAAAAAAAAAAAAAAAAAAAAATTTTTTGCAATGGCGGGAAGCCTTGCTGATACAATTTTGCAATTTTTTTACTAGTTTTTACAAAGAATGGAGTGGTTTATTTTATGCATATGAGCTACTACCAGATGAAATGTATTCAAGATCTTAATTTATTCAAACATCTAATGTAGAAATAAGAACTGACTATTCTTATTTAGTCATCTTCATTTTCTGTATTTTACATCACATTTGACTTTCTTTTTGAGGCTGATTTTACAGATACATTTTAAAATCACTTTGAGTTAGAATACTTCAAGCATAGGCCGGGCGCGGTGGCTCAAGCCTGTAATCCCAGCACTTTGGGAGGCCAAGATGGGCGGATCACGAGGTCAGGAGATCGAGACCATCCTGGCTAACATGGTGAAACCCCGTCTCTACTAAAAAATACAAAAAACTAGCCGGGTGAGGTGGCGGGCGCCTGTAGTCCCAGCTACTTGGGAGGCTGAGGCAGGAGAATGGCGTGAACCCGGGAGGCGGAGTTTGCAGTGAGCTGAGATCTGGCCACTGCACTCTAGCCCGGGCGACAGAGCAAGACTCAGTCTCAAAAAAAAAAGAATACTTCAAGCATAATAATATGGAGAGATTAACACTTAGATTTTGCCTTTGGTGAACTTCCAGGTTAGGTGAGAAAAGAAAGCAGTTACAGCGTTGTTTATTTTCAGATAGGCTTTAGAGAAGTCTTGAGGAAATGAGGAAATGTAGGTATAAAGATGATTGTACAGATCAGCAGTTCTCAAAATGTAGTTTGGAGACCTCTGGGAGTTCTGAGTCCCTTTCAGGGGGTTCTTGAAGTCAACTTCTTTTCATAATGATTCTAAGGTGTTACTAGTCTCTTTCAGATTCATTCTCTTACAAGTATGCACTAGCATTTTCTAGAGGCTAAATAACGTGATATCACAAGAGAGCGGAAGTAGTTATGAAAATCTAGATTTTATTAAGCTAGACATTTGAAGTTAGCATTTTTTTTATTTTCTTTTTATGAAAACTCCAAATAGCCTCTGAAAAAAATGTTCAAGAATGTAAAGCATCTTGAAACTAAAAACATTTGAGAATTGCAGATATGAAGAGTGAACTACAGTGGTGGAAAAAGGGCTCATTCAGCAGTGGAGCTTAAGATTGGCTAGGATGCCCAAGGTAGGGGTGAGTGAAGGAGGGATGAGGAAGGGTATTTCATATGAAGGCAAAGTTGCAAATAAGTGGGAAAGGACCTGTTGTATTCATTAGGCACTCAAAAGCTTGGCTGGTTGGAAACCGGAGTTTGTAAAAGAGGAGAGAAAGTAGTGTACTGGATTAGGCCCACATTGTGGAGTGTCTCAAATGGTAGCCTAATACTTGATTGTGAGGGATGTGAGGAATAATGGAAGGTTTTCAGGTGAGTGAGAAAAATAACAGTTGTATTTGAGGATGAATTAATGCGGGCAGTAGCATGGGGAGATCTTGAAGTAGTAACATCAGAATTAGATGGCAGTCATTGATGTGTGAGTTGATGAGGGTCTAATGAATACCAGAGACAGAAAGTAAGAACAAGCATGATTTAGTGACTGACAAGGTAGTAAAGGAGGGGAAAAAGTCAAGGCTTTTGAGGACCTTTATTGGAGTGTCTGTTCTGGATAGGGCATAGTGTCAAACCCTGAGAATATGAAGAACATGATAGTGGCTTCAATGTTTTCATTTTCAGCCTAGGTGACTGGGCACAGAGTTTTCCTTAACTGCACTTCCTACTCTAGGAGCAGCAGCAAGTGGTTATAAAGCCTCATGATATTTCTTTCAGTTTTTGTTCCTTGTTACCCTCCTCTCCCTTTTCTTAATTATGCGGATGGAGGATGCAGAGAGAAAATGGGTAGCATGGAGTCTGGTACACGATTGACACTTAACAAATTCTTTTGAATTTTTCACGTTCCTAGTAGCTGGTTGTAATGCTGTCTCCCGAGGTACTGCTAGATCTTGGTACTATTTGTGAAAAACCTGGTACCTGTCTAGAAAGCATGTCCTTGAAGTAACAGTCTTTGAGTAGGTCCATTAAGCTAGGCTTGACCCTTTCAATAATCCTTCTTAGCCATGTAGAGCTAATAATGGTTACTCTTAGCTAGTAATAGCTACTCATAGGATGGCTGTGATGAACATATTGAAAGACATTTGTAATAAAGTACAACTTTCATGGCATATAGTAAGAGCCCAGTGTATGTTTATTTCAACTTTTTGAATTATAAGAAACAGAAGAACTAAGGCTCACTGAAGGTTGGAAGAGATAGAATTAGGATAAATAAACGTAACTGATATTTTCTACAGTATATATTAATACCCAGAAAATTTGGGCTTCATCTGGTAGAAGAGAGTGAAAACATTAAAATTTTGAAGAAATTGTACTAATGAATGAGAGACCAATAAGGGCTGATTGATTACTTTGAAAATACATTTTGGAAGGCAGCCACAAAGGGTGATTATTTTAAGATGCGCAAAGAGAGAATGGGCATTCATACGTTCTGGCTTAAGCTAGGCCCCATAGGTACTTGTGGTCTTGAAAAAAGCTTGTGACTTTGACAAAAGTGACTTATTAGTGCTGTCACTAATAAGAATAAGGCTGTGACATACGTTCTTTTAGTAGCTATATAGAAGCAATGTGGCAGCGACGGCTTTCGAGTATCAGATATTGAAATTTTTCTATTCATATTTAGGTGAATTAAGTACTAGTTAAACATGAAGAACAAATCCACTTTAAAAATTTCATAGGCACTCATTCTCTTTTTGCAAAGTAATTTACTATGGTTTTTCAGCGTTCTGTATACTTGTTTTTTCCTTTCTCTGCGTCATAAAAGGACTTTAAAAAAACTACAGTAATTGAAATTAAAAACTAGCCTTTGCATTTTAATGTTTTCTAATTTATTATTTTTTAAATGTATGTTTTTTTAGGCTTGCCGTATCCCAAACAAACACCTCTTCTCACTAAATGCAGGAGAGCGAGGATGTTTTTGTCTTGATTTCTCCCACAATGGAAGAATATTAGCAGCAGCTTGTGCCAGCCGGGATGGATATCCAATTATTTGTGAGTAATAATCCTACCTGTTTAATCTGATTGTAGTCTGCATGGAGGACGTTCTTTAGTTTTTTAAATCTGTGGAAATCTTAACTTGAGTAATCCCCTGTACTACTCAATTATAGAGAACAGATTTCTTCAAGTAAAGAAAGTTCTTTTATAATAATTTTACGCTTTTCTATACAATAACTGTTCAGAAGTAGAATGAGAATGATCAAATGAAAGATGGTAAATTTATTTTTAAAACATGCAGGAGGATTTTTGTAAACATTTTGCATTTTAAATATAGAAATTTGGAAACAAGGATTAATACATCTCATGGGGAACATGAGTCCAGTGTGGTTAGTTGATAGCAGTGATGATGTGAGTTACAAAAGCCCCCAAATTTGCTGTTTAGTGGAATACAAATAATTGACTCAAGAGTACCTAGAAGAAAACTTCTCATTATGGTAGGGAAGTCAGCAGAGAGGCCAAGCAATTATTTCTGTAGCTTTAGAGACTTTTTAAAGTGAGCATTAACATATAGACTTAGAAGCATTAAATACTCTTGTTTACTTCTGCCTCAACAGTAAAACCAGCTGTCCTCTGCAGAAGTAGCCAGCTCCTTGTGGGCATCTGCCCTAAACACTAGATCTTACTGAACTTTTCTCAGCTTAGCACAGTTTGCTATTACTTGGTTGATTCCCTTTTTTTCATCAGGGACTCATAATGGACTTGGTGGGCATTTATTAAGTAGGTATTGCTCCCCACGAAATAGTAATAAATTTTAAAAATAAAAAATCACTTGTGTCATTTGATTACCACTATGCTATTTTTAAAATTCATCAAAAGCCCAGATGTAGAGGGTAAAAAGGTTCTTAGGAAATGCTCCTAAGTTATTAATAGTAATTTATTTCTTTTGCATAGTGAAAGAATTATTTTATTCTGATTTTATGTTTTAAGAGCTTCTGTGATAAATATCTTATTTATGCTTAAATAAACCTGCTTAAGATGCTATGTAGATTGAGATATTGCTTAAATATCAAAAATAGAGGAGGAAGAGGAATCTTTGTCTTTGGTTTTTGACTATTTGATTATGATGTGTCTACTTGAAATTCCTTTAACTTGCTGTATGTGCAGATCAGTGTTTTTCACGAATTTGAGAAGTGTTCAGTCGTTCTTTCTTGAAATGTTCTGTTTGGCCCTTTTCTCTTTCTTCTTCTGGGAGTCCCATTATGCCTGTGTTGGTACTCTTGGTGGTGTCCCACAAGTCTCTGAAACTTTTCTGTTTTTCTTCATTCTTTTTCTGCTTTTTTCAGATGGGATAATCTCAGTTGACCTATTGTCAAATTTAGTAATTCTTTCAGTTTAGATCTACTGTTGAGCCCCTCTAGTGAATTATTTATTTCAGTTATTGTACTTTTCAACTGTAAAATTTCTAGGTAGTCTTTTTTTTTTAAATCATATCTGTCTCTTTATTGATACTCTGTTTTTTGGTGAGAAATCCTTTTCACACTTTAATTCTTTAGACCTGGTTTTCTTTAGATCTTTGAATATATTTATAACAGTAGATTAAAAGTCTTTGTTGAGAAAGCCCAGGGTCTGGGCTTCCTCAGTTTCTATGTAGACTACTTTTTTCCCCTGTGTGTGGGCCACTCTTTCCTGTTTTTTCCATTTCTCATAATTTTGTGTTGAAAACTGGATGTTTTAATAATACAATGTGGCAGCTCTGGAAATCAGATCCCCCCGTTTCTCCCCTCACACCCACCCAGGATTTATTTTTGCAGTTAGCTTTGTGATTTTGGACTAATTCTGTAGTCTTTACTCTGTCATGTGTTGCCGTTGATGTCTGTGCTCGGTTAAGTTAGTGGTCAGACAGCGATTTTTAAATACCTGAGTGGATGGGTCTACTGGTCTTTGCCAAGGGACTCTGTGTGTGTTGGGGTATACCTTCAATGCTTCAATAGGCAATCCACAGCTCTGCCTTAGCTTTACTTTCTGTTTGTGCTGAGCCACTTCAGGTCAGCCCGAGTAAGAGGTAAAGACTCTTAGGTCTTTCTTGGTTGTGCATATTGCCTTCACATACATGCATGGGAATCCTTCTAGATACCCAGGAATATTTTGGAGCTTATCAGTGTCCCCTATGGACATCTCATTCCCAGTTTTTTGTTTTGTTTTGTTTTGTTTTTTGTTTTTATTTTAAGTTCTTTGGTGAGCGTCTTCTTAGCCTCACTTAGTATCAATGCCTCAGGCAGCTGTGATATTAAATGATGCCATGGGTGGTTGTGACATGCACCTTAAGGTTAGGGCTGTTCTCCCAGAGCATGCTGTGAGCCAGGTCAAATAAAGGCAGGCCCTGAGAGTGGATCTTTCCTGGAGGGCCAGACTGCCAAATAGTAAGAAGTCTTTGGGGATGGGGCTTTTAGGGAGCATCAGACCTGTTCTGTCCCACCCAGTGGCTGTTAATCTCCTGATTTTTATTGGTTTTTAAGGCTCCTTTAAAGTTTGAGACAGGAATGAGAACATGGCAAGTTAAAACACCATAATAAAGCTCAATGTTCTTACCAAATTCAGCCATTTTTCTTAAATACTCTTCCAATCTTTGTAAGCTTTACTTAATTTTCAGAGTTCTGAAAATGTTGATTTTTGCCAGTTTTTGCCAGTGTTTTATGCTGCTTCTATGGGGAGGAGATTTTTTTAAGACTCTTATTTTGCTATTCCGCAAGTAGTCCCTCTTTTTCCGTAGGGAATATGTTCCAAGACCCTCAGTGGAAGCCTGAAACCTCAAGTAGTGCTGAATCCGACTGCCATCACTAGAAACACGTCTGCTTATGCTTTCCACCCACAGATTTATATCTTTTCCATCTTAACAAAGTAGTTACCATGCACTAAAGGCCATTACTTTCGTCATTTGAGGTGTGACAGCAAAACTAGCACAAACCTCTTTTTTGTTCTTCACAATTTCACAGATAGATTTTTACTGTAGATCCTAGCAACTTCAACATATACTTTTTTTCTTTCCTTTTTAAATCAAGAACTTTCACCTTTTCACTCAAAGGAAGTACTTTATGGTTTCCCTTTGGCATATGCCAATTGCTAACATTATTACTCTTGCACTTTGGGGCCATTAAGTAAAATAAGGGTTACTTGAACAAAAGCACTGGGTGACAACCAGTCTGACAACTGAGACAGCTACTAAGTTTCTGATAGACAGTTAGCATCTGTAGCATGGATACATTGGACACAGGATAATTCACATCCTGGACAGATGGAGCTAGATGGCACGAGATTTCATAGCACTACTCAGAATGATGTGCATTTTAAAACTTAGGAATTATTTGTTTCTGGAATTTTCCATTTAATATTTTCAGACCATGGTCAACTGCTGGTAACTGAAATCACAGAAAGTGAAACTGCACATAAGTGAGGACTGCTGTTATTTCTGAACTGCTAAGTATTTTAAAGGGCAATTGATTTTTACCACTAGATGGAAGCAGAGACTTGGAAACTTTGTTTTTCTGTATTATTATCTTAGATTTCATTGTATGTTTAAACATATAGTAAAGTACCACAGTGCTTTTTGTGTCTGATTGAGTCGTTGTTAATTCCCATACTATCCCTGATTACTATCCCTGTTCATTTTAGTATTAAAATTTACTTTTGACAATAGAACAATTTAAATTTCTCATTACTTCAAATAATTAAATTTTTGGTTGGCATTTAGTTGATTTTCAGGTAAAAATAATAATGAAAGCCCAAATTATAGAATATTTTAAGTGAATTGCAATGTAAATATTATTATTCAACTGATAAATTTATTATTAAAGATTCTTAGGGGATTTCTTTAAAGAGATGAAAAAATTGACAATTGTAGCAAAATTATAACTCATAATTTTGCATGTGAATTTTTACGTAAAGCAAATGAAAAACTGTTCTTAAGTAAATTTTGAAATTTTCGTTATGCTGCACGTATCTTTGGTTATAATTTTGTTATAGACTGCTTATGTCTAAATAATATTAAATTATGTATTTGTATATTATTGGATTAAGGATTTCTGTCTGGAAACCTACTAATTTCTAAATATTTTCATTAGTATATGAAATTCCTTCTGGACGTTTCATGAGAGAATTGTGTGGCCACCTCAATATCATTTATGATCTTTCCTGGTCAAAAGATGATCGCTACATCCTTACTTCATCATCTGATGGCACTGCCAGGTTAGTATCCTTGAGAAGTACTTATGTGCATACTATTTGCCATCAAGAAAAGCAAAGAGAATATAAAGTGATGTAACTACTCTTATGCTCCAGTCATATTTTACCTATGAAGGGACTGTCATAAATATGCATCATGCAGACTGATTCCGTAAATTACAGTAACACTTTTAAAAGACATTTTTCTTAAATGTCTTTTATTTATGTAGTATATAATATTTCTAGTCCACACCATCTTTAAATGATCATTATGTAAACTAATTAATGCTTCAAGATGAGGTTAGGGGTTATTAAACACCTGAGATTTTTCCTAGAGCATAAGCTCTTGGTGGCAGGGATACTGTCTTCACTGTTGGCTGGATATGCAGAGGCTAGAATCCAGTGGTGCTCAGTACATCACAGTAGAGGAAATAAATATGTACATTACATTTTAAGATTTTTATAGATTGGTTAAACATTTGCATTTTTCAGAATGTCAATCTTAAAAATAATTTATCCCTTTTCAATTTGATAAATATCACAAAAACATTTTAAAAGCGAACTTTTAAAGTTTCATTTATACTTTTTTTAGTTGCTTGCTCTACCTTGTAACTGACATGTAAGCTGTTGAGATCCATGCTGAATTCATTGTCATTTACTTCTGCCTTCTCTCTTAACAGTTCGTTTTACATTGAGTGTTTCGACCACTTCTACTGATCTTGCCAACCTCCTTTTCTGTATCAAATGTCTAATCAAGATGTTATCATTATTGGTTAGTTTTTATTTAAATGAAAAAGACGAGAATGAGTAACAATTGACTTCCTTCTTGGTCATGCTGGGAACATTCTATTACTCCCTTTTGACAATATCCTCAAGAACCTATCTGATCTGTTCTTTTAGCATAGCCATTCTGTCTAATGCCAGGCCATACTAGAGAAAAATATTTAACTTTGCTGAGGGGTGACTTTGGATTTTAACATCACCTAAGCTGTCATCTCTGCTGAGGAATCCTTTTACTTTACTCAGCTTCCTTTTCTCATTCCTCTGGCAGCAGATCCAAACTTACCATGAACATTCTCTACAGTAAATCACAGTCTTCCCATTTCATTAGATGACTATCTTCAGTTTAGATGAAATTTAGTCAGACATGAACTTCATCTATTTCCCTCTGATTTCCCTCCTAATATCCATAGATATGTCCATTTTTAATCTCTGTCCATCTCTTAACAAAGAGGCATGAGACTGACTTTTTAAAGGCTATTTGACCTGTACTTTCAATCTCAGTCCCTGAAAATTTGTATTACATCTACTAGTCTGATGAACATCTTTCCCTCTATTGATTGTGTCCTCTCATCTTAGAAATAGGCTCAAATGGGCTGGGTGCAGTGGCTCATGCCTGTAATCCCAGCACTTTGGGAAGCCAAGGTGGGCAGATCAGTGGAGGTCAGGAGTTCAAGATCAGCCTGGCCAACATGGCAAAACCCTGTCTCTACTAAAAATACAAAAATAAGCCGGGTGTGGTGTTGCACATCTGTAGTCCCAGCTACTTGGGAGGCTGAGGCAAGAGAATTACTTGAACCGGGAGGTGGAGGTTGCAGTGAGCCGAGATTGCGCCATTGCACTCCAGCCTGGGCAACAGATTGAGACTCTGTCTCAAAAAAAAAAAAAAAAAGAAATATGCTCAAATGGCCTTATCTTAAAAAAATCATTTTTAATTCTTCCTGCCTTCTAGACTAGCCCATTATTTTTCTCTTTCTACACCATCAGAAGCATTCTACACATACTGTCTTTACTTCAGCCCAGTTATTCTGGCTTTCTTTCCAACCATGCTACATAAACTTCTTTCTTCAAGAGGTTGGCAGTTTCTTGCTATTTTTAAATCCATTTGGCCAGTTTAACTCCTGCTATGCTTGCCTTCACTGTAGTAATTGATTATTGACCAGTCTTGAAATATTTTGAATTCATGGTTTTCATTGACAACCTCTTCTCTTCTCTTTTTATTACTCTGGCCAGTTCTAATCCATTCTTTCTCTGTTTCATTTTCTTCTGCCGATTGTCTATATGTTTTATCCCCAGGATCCTTTACTTGATCATCTCTTGGTTTTATATGCTTATCCTAGTTTCTCTTACCTTCCCCGGCTTTGACTCTCACTGATATGCTAATGACTTCTAGCACACACCTTTTTTTATGAATTTGACTTCCTATTACACGTTTCCATTTAAATGGCCCATTGCCACCTCAAATCCAAAACCAAACTTACCGATCTCTTTAAATTTTGTTTTCCTCCTTTAATTCTCTTACATATATTTTAATGGCATCCTTATCCACCATCTCCCAAGCTGAAAACTCAGAGTAGTGTTCATCTCTTCTTTCTTTCCCATCACTTCTTTCACATCTAACTAGCATTAAAGTCTGCCAATTCTCCCTCCTAAAAGGCTCACAATTTTGTCACATCCTCTCTATCGCGTTTGCTTTAATTCAAGCCCTATTTTGCTGTTGACCTCAGTGTTCAGTCTCTAAGTCCTCTGTCTCTGCTGTGCTAAAATTATCTTTCCGTAACTATCTTTCATAATGCCTTAATTTTTTAAAAGACTTTACCCATTGCCCCTTGAAAAATTTTCCAGTTCCTTAGCATGGACAGGCATGTTCCTCATTGACCCAACATTCTTCTCTCATGCCCTTCCCTGTACCCTTTGCTTCACCCATGTAATCTTTTGAAACACCCTAGCATCTTATCTTCTTTGGCATCTTCCTGCCCTTTGAAACTTACCTACTTTTCCTATACCTAAATGACCTTCTCCTACCCTTGCTGACTAACTCATTCGTTCAACAAAAATTAAATGCCTTTTGTGAGCTCTCATAGGTTTGTAGTTATTAGTTACAATCCAGCTCAACTTCTGTTATTCCTTGAAGCTATCTTGGGTTTCTGCACACAATACGTAGTATATTATACTAAAGCACACATTTTTTCCTTATTTATCTTTAAAACTGATATTAATTTAGGACTGTTTACATCATTAAAATAGTATTGTGAAAGCATTAACTGAGTGAAAAGAGAAGCATTGTGGCTAGCATCAAAACGGCAAGGAGATTTTTGAGAGAGGTAAGGAATACTTGTAATAAATGAGCTGTTGTCCAAAGAAAGAGAATTAGAATTGCAAATGCTCATAAGTGGCAGAAGTATGGATTTCTGTCCATGTCTTCGCCTTCTTTATTCCTGAGGATCCCTGACACATATTATTGTCAGTGTCTCCTAAGTATTTCCCACTTGGTTAGCTCTCTGCCATATGGGTTTATCCTAAACACCCTTATTTAGTTATCCCCAGAATAATCTGTTTTTCTCAAATCAACAACGCCCAATATAGTCAGAAAGCCTTTTCCATGTATAATGGCTCCCAAACATGTTCCCACTATTCCCTTTTCCCAAACATACGGCTTAACTTTGGTATGTTTTTTCTTTCCCAAATCTAGTAATTTTTGTGTGCGTTCATTCAGTCTTTACAAGTTTGTGTTTCTTTGTTGTCTATTATCTAGTCTGATTTTTTTTCCCCAAGCCCATTTATATATTCCTTTGAATGTCAGATTCTCCCATGGCCTGGGTAACAGAAGCCATCATTGATTCCAGTTCAGTTTTTACACAAAAAGCTTTACTTTTTTTTTTTTAATATTATGTCTAATTATATTGAGCTGTTTTGAAGATGTATTTGCTTCATTTCTGCCTGTTATATAGTATTTTAAATAATGCTACTAAGATTTCTTGCCAAACAACTGAGTTTTTTATCTTTTATCTTTTTAATATTTTCCCAAAGTTAGTGGTTTTATTCTTCTAATAGACATCATATTTCATATAAATATGCTTATTGAAAATATACTGTGGTAAAAAATGTTTGTGCAATTGATTCATGTGCTTTATTTTTACTTGAAAACATGTTCTTTCACTTCCTCTATTATTAGTTTGGATTCTTAGTAATTGAAGATCATATCCTATATTGTAAGCAGCTGCTGAGGAAACTCATAGAATATTATTCTTGAATAGAAACTGTTTTTTTTTTCTCTTATCAGTAATCTTGTAACAGACTTACTTTGCTTTAGTTTTCAAGCAGTGATTAAAAGGATGAATACAAATCCCATATTTAAAATTAATATGTTGTTCTAATTTTGATAACCAAATATATTTTAAAAACTAGTGCTTCACACTTATATAGCACCTGTATATTGGTAGAGTTCACCTAGTTTTATACATTGCTAGAGATGCAGAGTATCTAACAGATTAACCCTTAGGGATTTACTCATTTGTCAAGACTGTCGCAGTGATTATAATCTTAATTTTTTTTAATTAGCCATTATTTAGAGGACAGGATAATGAGTGTTAAACAAAAAGGACGTGCTTAATGTAGGATAGTCTTTTCTATCAAAATGTCATAGTTATTTTAATCTTATTTTACTTGAGAATTCAAAATATAATAATTTTAGTATCTCTTTTAAATCTTTGAGATTTTCATTTTTACTATCTAGGCTTTGAAATTACAAATATAAAAGTTAATAGACTATGCTATTCTCTAAACCCCCATTAATAAACATTTTGTAAAAGTGGTGTACACAATGTAAATGGGAAATCATTAAAGTTTCTCCCTGTATATTTTTTATGCATATTGTACTAAATGCAATATTTTACCAACTGTTCAATGTGTGTTTAACCAATGGCAAAATAGGTAGGTTTAAAAAACAGTTATTAATTTTATAGTATAGATTACAATTAGTGGATATAATATGCTGGATGATAACTATAACAAATAACTTTGTCATAATGTGAAAATTCAAGTCATCAAATATGAGATCATCATCATATTTTTCATTGTTTTAAAACTTAGTTTATCATTGGTTGTTGTCAGTTGCTTACTTAAGGTTCATTGGCTATGTTGGTTCTTAGAAAAACTGTTAAAAGAAACTTCTGCTTTTCAGAAGCAATATGTAACTTCTTATCCTTTTCCAGGATATGGAAAAATGAAATAAACAATACAAATACTTTCAAAGTTTTACCTCATCCTTCTTTTGTTTACACGGCTAAATTCCATCCAGCTGTAAGAGAGCTGGTAGTTACAGGATGCTATGATTCCATGATATGGATATGGAAAGTTGAGATGAGAGAGGATTCTGCCATGTTGGTCCAACAGTTTGACGTTCACAAAAGTTTTATCAACTCACTTTGTTTTGATACTGAAGGTATGTCAGAGACTATGAATGAAGACCAGCTATGTGAAGAATTTTTTTTACCAGAATAATAGTTATCGAGGCTTGAGAGGGTTATGTACTGATGATTGTGCATATTTAGGTGTATGCTTGTTTTGCAGGTCATATGATAGATTTGACATTGAAGGAGTTCTGTTTGTAATTTTTAAGTTACTCTTAAACATTTAAAATTGCATAAATATATTTCTTTGGACTGGTGATTATCATTCTTACTTTCTTTCAAGAACCTTAAAATTTGCAAACATATAGAAGGGAAATTTGCAATTATTTAAAGTAAGAATAATATAGTGGCTGGGCGCTGTGGCTCATGCCTGTAATCCCAACACTTTGGGAGGCCAAGATGGGTTGATCACGAGGTCCGGAGATCAAGACCATCCTGGCTAACATGGTGAAACACCATCTCTACTAAAAATACAAAAAATTAGCTGGGTGTGGTGCTGGGTGCCTGTAGTCCCAGCTACTTGGGAGGCTGAGGCAGGAGAATCGCTTTGAACGTGGGAGGTAGAGGTTTCAGTGAGCTGAGATCGCGCTACTGCACTCCAGCCTGGGCGACAGAGTGAGACTCTGTCTCAAAAAAAAGAATAATGTAGTATGTCTTAAAGATGTAAAACATAAATCATTTTATTATCTGAAAGAATAAAGAAATTTATTATATCTATTAAATAGTCACTTTTTACATAATTTCAGAGACTAGGCATGTAGGCTGTCACTATAATTAATTGGCATGGGATCCAGATCAAAAGGATAATACTGCTGATTTACTCAGTTCAGCTGTAGGGATGTTAATAAATTTAGAACATATTCAGGAAAGAAAGGTATCTGAAAACTAACTCTGTCATAATAGCAGTAGTTCAGATTGTAAAAGAGACATAAAGACTTTCTTCAACTATTTGGCCGTAAGATACCCAAATGTACAAAAAAAAAAAAAAAAAAAAGAAATTGGTCCATTTTACTCCAATGGGTAGAGGTGGGCCAAAGCTGTAGAAGGTAGATTTTCTTCGTTCAGAATTACAAAGAATATTTTAATACAGGAAGCAGTTCACCAATTGAATAGCTGTTTTGTAAAATACTGAATTCACAGTTGCTGAACAGCCATCTGTTAGTGGTGGTGGTTGAGATATTCCTGAGTGGGTATGAAGTTGAACTTTCTGAGGTCTGTCAACTTTAAGATGACTTGACTCCAAAGAATTGATGTTAAATTGGAATACCTGTTATTTATTATTTTATTCATTTCCTGATCATTTAATGAGTTTCTACTGGGTCTCAGGTATTATGCTAACACTATGTATTAGAATATAGGTATTTTTCTAGGACTCCAAAACAGATTTATAGGTTAATAAAGTGAGAAATAATGTTACATGTAGGATGGTTCAAATAATTTGGCTTTGGAATATGAGCCATATACACATGTACTGAGAGGCTCATTTCTTTTTGTAGTTAAATTCAGGTAAGTGACAAAGGGAAATAAGTCATCAAAAATAATTTAAAAGAGTAAAGAATTCATTTAAAGATAATTGGGGTTTGTTTGTGAGTTGCATTTTGATTTTTGACTTTTTTAAACTGAAATACCTTTTAATAGCCCTTCAATTCTTTGACTGTTTTACTGGGGTATGGTTTCCCCCAGTCTCCTATTATTTGTTTCTAACTCTGGGACATTCATAAGTGAGTAATCTTGTTTTTTAAATAGGTCATCATATGTATTCAGGAGACTGTACAGGGGTGATTGTTGTTTGGAATACCTATGTCAAGGTTAATGATTTGGAACATTCAGTGCGCCACTGGACTATAAATAAGGTATAAAATCATATTTTATATTATGGGATTTAATTAAAGAAGTTGGAAAACTCCAGTCACATGACTTTAAGATAGAATGTCAGGACATTCTGTTCTCTCATTTCAAAAAATTAACACCTTTCCTTTTTTTTTTTTTTTTTTTTTTTTTTTTTGAGACAGAGTCTTGCTCTGTCACCCAGGCTGGAGTGCAGTGGCCGGATCTCAGCTCACTGCAAGCTCCTCCTCTTGGGTTCACGCCATTCACGCCATTCTCCTGCCTCAGCCTCCCGAGTAGCTGGGACTACAGGCACCCGCCACTTCGCCTGGCTAGTTTTTTGTATTTTTTAGTAGAGACGGGGTTTCACCGTGTTAGCCAGGATGGTCTCGATCTCCTGACCTCATGATCTGCCCGTCTCGGCCTCCCAAAGTGCTGGGATTACAGGCTTGAGCCACCGCGCCCGGCCAACACTTTTTCTTAGTCAGTTGTCTATAATTAATTAGCACACCCTCCTGGTGGCTGATTGATGATGTAATGACTTAGTGAAGATTTTTAAAATTTCAGCCAGATGTTAGTTTCACTTTTTTATATCCCATTTGCACTGTGGCATTCAGTAATCCATTGGGTGACATTTATGCTAAAATGAGATGTATGTTATATTACCATCGATAAGTAATAATTTATATTTTCTGTTATATCCTTTTTCCTTGGTCCAATAACATCTCTAAAAACAGTGTTCTTAGTACTTTGTCAACACTGGTGTCTTTCAGAGTTATGTAATTATTATGAAAGTCTGTCATTTAATCACAATAATTATTTCATTTGAAATTTGCTAAATGGCAACAAATGAATAAGTTCTTTCATTGGGGGCTGGAGTGTTTTTAAGACAGCTTGTAAAGCAGTTTTGTTAGTGTACATTTTTTACTTTTTATTTAAAAACACAAATGAATCATTAAACTTGAATTTGTTTTATATAAATTGATCCAGTTTCTGCCTAACATATTATACCTTTTTCTTCCATTTTTCTTAATAATGACAGTAGTTGAAAAAAGACACCCTAAGTGAAAAATAATTTTCATGAATTTTAGTTAAATCCATTGAGTCTGTCAGATCTGTTGAAAAAGCATTTCATCTGTTGTTAGAAATTCTTATCTAAATAAGAATAGAAACTTGAAAATTAATAATACATGTGGTTTTGAATTTATAAAAATTGGAAGCTTCTTACATGATTTTAAACAAAAAATTTAATGTTACAAGATGTGTTTGTTGGAAGTGCTTCTTGTTTGGGATTGACTAAATTTTGGGAAAGTGAACATACTACAAAAACACATAATAATTAAATGTGCATTTACACATTGCATAACAACACAAAAATACAGTTCATCAGCTTTATTTTCAACCCTAAACTGAAGTTACTCAGAATCCTTTTGCTAACAATTATAAAGCATCCTATACTGCAGAATTGGAAAAGATATTTTAAGATTAATTTTGTACCCCCAAAAACGTTTAACATTAGATTAACTTTTCATTAGTAGTATTTTTTTTTAATCATTTTAGGAAATTAAAGAAACTGAGTTTAAGGGAATTCCAATAAGTTATTTGGAGGTTCATCCCAATGGAAAACGTTTGTTAATTCATACCAAAGACAGTACTTTGAGAATTATGGATCTCCGGATGTAAGTATATTTCAGTATTGACAGGATAAGTACTCACAGAATAAGTAATGAATTAAATTATATTTATAAAATTCGGTAGTGGTTCTCAACTAGGCAGTGTCCCCACACTCACCAAGGAATGTGTGGCAGTATGTGGAGATTTTTTTTTTTATGTTACTTCTAGTATCTAATGAGTAGAGATCAAAAATACTGCTAAGCATCCTACAGCCCATAGGACAGTCTCCCTAAAACAATTATCCAGCCCAAAATGTGAATAGTTCTGAGGCTGAAATGTAGTTAGTTGCTTTTATTTTCACAATTAAAAAAAAAAGAAACTTCTACCTTCAACAATGATATTGATTGATACTGATATTATCACTATGATACTGTTACAGCATTAGTATAATATGATATAACAACAAGGCAGGGCTTGTGATTTATACATCCTTGTTTTTTTCCTTTATTTCCAAATAATGGTGAACATAGGGAAATCTTCTTCCTGTAAAAGGTAGAAGCAGCGTTCTGGGAAAATCAGCATGGACTTCTAGTGCATTTTTGTTTGGTGTTAGAGATGGTAATAGTGCCTGCCTGGCACAAAGTATGTGCTGAAATGGTGTTTACTATTTTTTCGTGAGTGCAAAAATATGGAAGACTATGTACCATATTTAGCAGATGGTTTAATAATATGTTTTATCTAATTTTTTTCAGAGATCAAATATTCCTTGTATTATTTTTAAAATTCATCAGATAGAAGACTATATGAATATAAAAATTCTATCCATTATTTTAGTAACCAGCTCAAATGCTATCCATAGTCTCTCTTTCTCCGTAGCTAGAATTAATTTCTCTTGTCCAAGTTTGGGGCGCGGTGGCTCAAGCCTGTAATCCCAGCACTTTGGGAGGCCGAGACAGGCGGATCACGAGGTCTGGAGATCGAGACCATCCTGGCTAATACGGTGAAACCCCGCCTCTACTAAAAAAATACAAAAAACTAGCCGGGCGAGGTGGCGGGCGCCTGTGGTCCCAGCTACTCAGGAGGCTGAGGCAGGAGAATGGCGAAAACTCGGGAGGCGGAGCTTGCAGTGAGCTGAGATCCGGCCACTGCACTCCAGCCTGGGCGACAGAGCAAGACTTCGTTTCAAAAAAAAAAAAAAAAAGAACTTTTCTGTTTGTCTTTTGCAGTACTTTCTACATCCACCTTCTATTTTACATTGACATGTTTCTCCTCTCTTGCTAAATTATAAACTCCCTGGGCTCTTGGGACTAGCTCTCCTTTATTCTGCATCCATTATATTATAGAATGTCTCCCATATGACAGATTCTCAAAAAATGTTTGTTGAATGGAAATTAAGTATTTAAGAGAAAATATTATACCACCAGTCATTTACATGATTGAGACAGTTACATTTGTAACATCTTTTCTGCTTGTAGATTAGTAGCAAGGAAATTTGTAGGAGCAGCAAATTATCGGGAGAAGATTCATAGTACTTTGACTCCATGTGGGACTTTTCTGTTTGCTGGAAGTGAGGATGGTATAGTGTATGTTTGGAACCCAGAAACAGGTGAGTATTTATTGAACTTTAAAAATCGTTTGGGGAGGTACAGGGCTTTGAAGAAGTGTGAAAATTCTACCATTTTTATGGAATAATTTTCAAGGAAATTCTGCTTTCGGGTTTTCAATTATGTTTTTTAAGATTAGAAAGCCTTCAGAGGAACTTCACTACAGCCTAAACTTGTATTAAATTTTGTTCTCTATTGCTTTAATATCTTTATGGATTTAGAATTTCACATTATAATTCAAGGTTTGTTCTTTCATGGCCTATGAGACATTGCTGATCTTAGAAAATCGTTTAATGGAGACTAACACAAAGTACAAAATGTTACCAGCTGAATTTGGAATATAATTAGGTAGACAAATTGTTAAACATCTATAATATATTTTCATTAGTAACAGAAACATACCTGTGAAAGTTTTGATATCTGAAACTTAAATAGCAAGTTACCTGAATTACTGCAATTCAGTTTTTTTCCAATAAACAATTACATTGGGAGGCTCATTTGTACCTCACCTTTGCTTTTCAAAAGAAAATCTAAAGCTACATGAATGTTTTTAATAAGAAATTGAGAGAATTTCATAAAACTAACTTTAAAATTTCTTTAATGAACAGTATTTGATTTTTTCCTTGTTTATTTTTGTATTCTTTCTGTTAGGCATTTTGACTAGTCAGCTAACTTAGGCTTTTGTTTGAATGTTTTCTGTACCGTGTTTTGGTGCTTTAGCATCAATTCAGTAGCGTTGTCTCCCTCACTTTCAATAAATGAACCTAGATTCTTTGCTTTTTGATTCCTGACTGATTTTCCTGCGTTCCACAGATCTCTGCTTTAGACATCTTTTAGGCCAGAGTCATAAGTATCTTTCAAGCAAATGGGTAGCTCAAACAGCATCTGGGGGGAAAAAAAAAATGGAAAAGTTAATCCTTCACCAAAACTCACCCAACTAGAGTTTCTTTAGTTTTAGAGTCCTGTAATTTCTCCCGTAGTTCTACCCAGAGTTCTCTGTCATTTGGAGTTTGCTTAGCTCTGTCCAATCTCCAATCTCAGAGTCATATACCTCTCTGCTTCCTTCTGTGCCCTTTGTCTTTCTTTCATGCCTTGAAAACCTCATTGAAGAGGTAGAAAGTAGAAAGAGGAGGGTCAAGGAAATGTAAAATAAAGAAAATTTCTACATTGTTACTCAAACATTTTTAAATATTTGAGGTTTTCACATAAATAATATGAACATTACTATATTTTCTAATAAATGGCAGAATAATCTTGTAACAAGATTTATCTGATATAGATACGCTCTGATAAACATTTTTTAATCTCTTTATTTAGGAGAACAAGTAGCCATGTATTCTGACTTGCCATTCAAGTCACCTGTTCGAGACATTTCTTATCATCCATTTGAAAATATGGTTGCATTCTGTGCATTTGGGCAAAATGAGCCAATTCTTCTGTATATTTATGATTTCCACGGTAAGTCCACCACTTGGTAAGTAAAGAATTTTTAGAGTAACATTTACATTTAGACTAAACCAGGAATCTGTCTGCCATTTAAATACTGACCAAAGTACACCTAATAATTGTGCCCTTCCGTTGGAATCACAGAAAGCTGGCCACCAGTTTCTTTGTAAATCAATTTAAATAAATAGAATTTACCTAAAAATTATTTGGAATATGTTAACTAAATTTAAGATGTAAATAACCCTTAGGAAATACAGATCTTTAATGTTTTCGGTTGACTATTGAGTTAATATTTTTATCCTATGTTCTTAACTAAAGCATATAGTTTTAATAAGTTGTAGTTTTGAGAGTTTCTTAACATAAAAAGTAGGGGGAAAATCACGTCAGTGAAAACATCACCTGGAATTAGAAATCTAATGTCTTTCAGGTCTGCAATTACACTATTCTAACATTCTGAGAAATAATAAGGAAATAAAAAGTTTGGATACCTTATTTTTCAGGGACAGTATGGTATTTTAATAATTCTTTGAATTTATGCTGGTTTTCATATATTTCTTTAATTTCTGTCCTGAAATTAGAATTCCACTCTTCTATATTATACTGTTAGTGCTGTCATTCTCAAAATTGCATTTCTGTTTTCTTCATATATTCTTGTACAAAAATGAAAAGTCTTCGTTAGTTTCTTTGATTTGCTTATGGAAAGCTAAGTGTATTAAGTTAATATAGATTGAATTGATTAATGGTTGTGATAAATACTAAGTTGTTAGGCAATTAAGTTATAAATCTGAAGTTCTTGATCACAGTATGGATTATATTATGCCTTCCTGGGTGAATTATGCAAGGAAAAAAATGTTTTCTAGCATAATTTATTGTAAAATCAAGATTTAATCTTATTTTAAAGAACTTTATAGAGAAGAAATCATTTCTGCAACACATACTCAGATTTATAGAACACTATTACTAATGGTGGAATTGTCAACCAACACAGTACCATTTACTGTTATAAGCAGATGTTAGCAAAAATAAGCACTGCCTGATTATAGGAAAAAACAGATGGATTCCTCAAATCATTCAATGTCCAAATCTGGTGCCTAGTTTCAACATGTATCCTGAAACAGTTCTCTCTTTGTACCCACTCTAAATATTCACATAAATGAAGAGTTATACCAAAGTACTTTATATTTGGAACTGTTATACAGGAAATAGGCAGCACAGTTATTTCCTCAGACTCTTAAGAGATTTTACAATAGTCTTCATTCAATTTCCAATTTGCTTTTTATGCCTTTGAAATTTTCACTACACATACACATTAAAGTTCCACTCTATCTTTTCTTCAAGCAATTTATTTTTTGTCACTGACAGAGGATTTTATCATCAGATTAGCCCAGGATAGTTAGGTTTGCCAATTTGGTTTTTAGGCAATAAGCATGGAAGTCCATTCTAGAGGCATAGTAGTAGAAAGAGCTAAGCATTTTAGGAGTCCAAAAAAAAGGGGTTTAGGCTCTATTCTCTTCCTCTAGTGACCTTGCACAAGCGTCTTTCCTGAAGCTCCATTTTCATATCTATTAAAAGGTACTACAGTACTAGTACCTGTCCTACCTAACAGAGGTATTTGTGAAGATACTGTGAGACCATGACTGTGAAAGTACTGGGTAAATTGATAAGCACAGTATTGAAACAAAAGATAAAATGGGTTGTTATGCTTATCCAACCAGTATACACTTGACTATATGTAAGAATTTCTGTTTTAATATGCTGATAAGCATCTCTACGTAGAAAGGAGTTGAAGAGTTTTTTTCTCCTCTCTTTTACTCTGTTGGTCAGTCTTTTATTTATTAAAGTATGTTTCTTTCCAGGTCAATTTATTAGAGTATAAATGCATAAAATTAAAAACATAATGTTATTTCCACACTATCTTAATGTGCAAGAGGAAGGATTTCCATGAGCATTTTAGAAATTAAAATATTCAAATAATAGGCACATTAAATTAAAATTATTTGTGCAATATATCACAAACACAATTTTTGATATGCAAACACACCTTTACAAACAAATTAAAACTCAAAAATGTTTCAACACATTCTCCCAACTTGTTGCTATTTTTAAAAAGAGGAAGCTTAGGAAGAAGTTAAGTAATCTTAAGACATCTAAGATTTAGCAGAGTTCTTGTGAATGGTATAGATCCATAAGAAAAGTGTAATGTTTATGACTGACCTATTAGAGTTTTGTCTATTTTATTTTTTAATACAGGAATATTTTGCTCATAATGTTTTGTTTGAAAATAAAGTTTACATATGGCTTTACATAAATATTTTAATAGTATAAAATTCAAAAAAACACAAAAAACTTCAGAGATTTTTAAGTGGTGTTTTAAAAAATTATCAGATAATTTTCAAGGAAAATGGAGCAAGCTTATTTTTTTTATAAGCTAAACAAGCTGTGAATGAGACCACAGTGGTAACTAAATGTATCATCCATCTTTCAGTTCTAGCAAAATCTGTGAAGAGTTAGCAAGCATCTTTCCCTGGTAAACATATGTTCAGGTTGTGGTCTTTCGGGTCTTTCATTCTACTGACTTTTTGCTTTTTTTGGTAAGAAATATGATTTTTACTTTCAGGAGGCAGTTTTATTTGCCTGATGTTGAAAGGGTTAATCATCCAGTAATACAAAATTTAGTCACAGGGTACCACAAATAATGTACTTTTAGGATTCCCATAATAACAGAGCACTAGTCAGAGAAACGGCTTCTACTGAATTAAATTCATGAAGCTAGACTTCAGTTAATGTTTTGTTATTAATCAATATTTATTCACCTCGGTCTCTAGGATATTGTTCTAAATTTAATAATAATTTTGGTTAATACTTCCATAGCATTTTCTTTGTTCCTGGTACTGTTTTTAAGTTTCTGCAATAATCTTGTGACATAGGGGCTGTAATCCTCACTTTACGGGGGCCATGGCTTTAAATCAATGCAGTTTGCTCCTGGAGTCCATGCTCTCATTTGCTACACTAAATTTCCTTTTCAGCACATTTCTTGAAATATTAGTTTCTAAATGTCTAATAATCAAACCTTGTTTTTTCTACAGTACAGTTTTTTCTATGTTTCTCTGTGGAGTATGTAGTTTCCTTGTATTTTCTATACTTTGTAAGAAGCAAAGATGGAAGCTTGTTCATCTTTTTCCTACTAGTACCTACCCAGAATACTGACACATAATAAATACGCATGTAGTGTTTTCAGTGGAGTCAAGTCTAATTTGGGAAGTTCTCAACATTATTTGATAATTCTACGTAATAAGGCTGATTTTTCACTAGGTGGCAATGTCTCCTCTGAACCAGTATTAACTCTGGAGTGCTTTGTAGTCATAGTATCTTAGACAAGACAAATCTTTATTAAGCACCTATTGTGTGTCAAGTTGAGCTGTGCTATGAAACGCAGGAATCAGACTCATATTACCATTCTTTTTTCTAGTCCTTTGTACTTCCTAGTTAGTTGATTACATCTGTAAAAGAAATTTAAACCAAAAAGCAGTTTCTGCTACTGACATGATTTTATTAATACATTTCATATTAATTAATGATAGCCTACATTGTCATTATTAACAAACATTTTTTATATTGTGACACATTTTACCAGAGTTCAGGGCAACATGTACCTTTAGTTTCCTATAAAATTTGTTATTTAACTGGCTCATTGCCTAGAAGCATGTGGTATTTATAATGCCATATGTCTAACATAGTACCTGTCTTATTACTAATATGCAATAAATGAATAAATGTTGGGATTAACAATTACAAATCCTGTAGAATAGCATTTTTCCCTTAAATTTTATAAAAATGTATACTGAGAGGCATCATGAGTTAGTAAATTTGGGGCTAATCACAGTGGTAGTAGTAGCTCATATTTATCAAGCATGTAATGTGTCTCCCACGCTTAGGAGCATTTTACATCCGTTATCTCATACCATCCTTCTAAAACTCTTCAGTGTAGGTCCCATTATTATCTTCATTTTGCAGATGATGAAACGGAGGCACAGAGAAAACAATAATTTTCCTAAAGTAACACGGTAGTAAAGCCACCATTTGGTTCTAAGCTGACTCCAGAGTCCATGTTCTTAATGTATTAAGCTATCTGTCTTAGGCATTTATTTAGTCTTTGCATTTCCTGATCATGAAGTAAATTTAAAAGGTAGCTAAATATTCCTATGGTAAAATGTGTTGTTGGTTTTCAATTTCAGCATTTAGGAGAACCCCCTTAAGAAAGGAAGTTTGCTTAGCTAGTATTATTAATAGTTCACTCCTGGCCGGGCGCGGTGGCTCAAGCCTGTAATCCCAGCACTTTGGGAGGCCGAGGCGGGTGGATCGCGAGGTCAGGAGATCGAGACCATCCTGGCTAACATGGTGAAACCCCGTCTCTACTAAAAATACAAAAAACTAGCTGGGCGTGGTGGCGGGCGCCTGTAGTCCCAGCTACTCGGGAGGCTGAGGCAGGAGAATGGCGTGAACCTGGGAGGCGGAGCTTGCAGTGAGCCGAGATCGCGCCACTGCACTCCAACCTGGGTGACACAGCGCGAGACTCCGTCTCAAAAAAAAAAAAAAAAATAGTTCACTCCTTTAAAAATGTGGGAGGTGGCTGGGTGTGGTGGCTCACACCTGTAATCTCAGCACTTTGGGAGGCTGAGGCAGGAGGATCGCTTGAGGCCAGGAGTTTGAGACCAAACTGAGCAACATAGTGAGACCTCATCTCTACATACATACATATGTACATACATACATACATACATACATAAAAAAAATAAAAATTTGAGGAGTAACATAATTATGGTGTAATAAGCCATTATGTTCTTAATATAGTTTAAAATACAAATATTCTTTAGTATATAGCATTAATTTTTTTTTTCTTGAGACAGGGTCTCCACTCTGTCACCCAGGCTGGAGTGCAGTAGCATAATCACAGCTCACTGCAGCCTCAACCTCCTGGGCTCAAGCGGTCCTCCAACCTCAGCTTCCCTAGT